GGGGGGGGGGGCTTCCCCGGCCCTAGACTAGGACAAAATGCTTCGTACCCCTCAGTCAATTAAAAAAGTAACAATTCAAAATTTTCGTATTTTTTTTATTTGGTAGATATTGGCTTGTCTGTCTGTGTGTATCCAATAAACGCAAAAACGGCTGAACCGATCAGGATCGACTGTCAAAGATGAAACCTTTTGCCGGAAAAGTGTTGACATTTAATATTTTTTAGTGTGCCAATTTAAGCGGACAACTCCACGAAAATTTTATATCAATTAGAAATTGTAAATTCAGACAACAGTGAAAAGCTAAAATTTGAAAGAGGGCGCGAAGCAGCCTGAATTAAAATATGTATAATTCTAGAAAATTTAACAATTCAAATTCATTTGAACCAAAATCTTTTAATTTTGACAGTAAAGCTTTCCTGGGTAAGGTGACATTCTAAGCAAAATTTGGACTTCATCAGTTCTTCCGTTTTCAGTATACAAAAAAAAATAAGCACCCAAAAAAACAAACAAACAAACACCCAAACAAACAGAATTAGACAAGCCAAATATATATAAGATATTCACATTAAATATATATATAGTATATATTTATAGAATGAATTAATAGATAGACTAAATGCTATAGGAATGTATGGTTTTACTGGATGCTGTAGGATGAATGGTTGGAATATTGATGTTGGATGAATAGTAAGAATATTGATGCTATAGAATGAATGAATAGCTGTAGAATGAATCCCGCACACGATTACTAATATTTCAAGATGGTTCAGCTAGAGTATCGAAGACTATGTATTAATTAGAAGATGCAGAATTTCATCTGAGTGTAGAGAAGTAGAGAAATCTGAATACGATTCAGGAAAATTCAATTATAAAGAACTCCTGTTTCTACTCAGCTAACTTTTCACTTTTAGGATGAGAGAGTTTAAATCCTTCGTCTCCTGAAAATTGTGAAGCCTAAAGCCTCGTCTCCCGTCAAATGTGTCAAGACACCCAGATCAAGTTGAAATCCGTAATGTCCCGAATCTGAGAATACCATCCCCCCCCCCTCTCCCACACTTCAAACTTATATACATAGCTTGTCTGTTTGTCTGTAGGTTTGTAGGAATCCAATAAACGTCAAAACGGCTAGATACAGATTCTGTCCACTTTACGTTTGGCTCTAGGGAACCTTTATGGCTGGACAACGCCAAAAAAAATGTGCTCATAAAAAGCTGATTTTTCAAAAATCCACCTCTAAAAATTGAAAAATGCGTGAAAAAGGAAAGTTTGACAGCTACAATAATACAAGCAAGAGGGGCACAAATTGCCTTAAATGTCTAGCCACTAAAAAATACCCCCTCACGCATTAAGATATCCAATTGTAAGTTGAGACAAAAAATTCATAATTTTAAGGATATGAAAATTATTTAAGTTAAATATCAAAAGTTGAGGCTTGAGGGTGTAAATATATATATATAAAAAAAAATACATTTATGGTGTAATGTTTATTAAATGATTTTGTTTTGAAATTTAAATATCCACGTTCAGGGTTTATATTTTTTATCAACCTGTATATAAACCAATCTTAAACTGAACCTGACCCTGAACCTAAGTTTGACCCTGAATCGGAGCATAATTTCTGAATTTAGAACAACACATCTCTCAAATTTTGTCAAATTGGTCATTTCTTTATAATCCTGTTTTTCTTGAAGGTTCCGGATTTTTTTCATTATCTCCCGCATTTTTAAAACCTAAATAAAGTAATTATGTTTTTGCCACAAACTCTGATTTTCCAATCCCTTAATATTTGCTACCCAATGTCGTAGACCTTAGATATAAATAGCAAAGGTTTACACCATCAAATTTTAAAGATATAGGGATTAGAGAATTTGAGTTTGTGGCAAAGACTATGCTGAAATTATTTATCTCCTCGGATGTTTAAGTTTATCTAGTATCAGGGTTGGGTTTAGGATATGGATAGTTATATCTGAAATTTCAACACTACAGGTTCTCCCTTATCTTGCTCTATGATAAATCTGCTCAAACTGAGTCAAATTTCTCTAAATCTTGAAATCCTTGGTTTAATACTGATTTGAGTTCAACTGGTGGAGGAACAGTAGCGTATACCTTCAATTCTTGGAACTTGGTAAAATTGGTTTGTTCCTACAAACAGGAGTCTACATGTTTTAATTGCTTCCTCATATTTTCTTGAGCCCTCTATAACATTTATTTATTTTTTTACTATTTTACTATTTTTAAATTTTTTTCTACATAACTTGAAAATGAAAAATAAAGATGACACCTTGGACATGGACTTGAAATAAAACATTAACAAGAACAATCAAAATTAATATTCGTATATCTGGGTTTGCACAATGTGGTTGAGAGAGAGTGTGAGAGAGAGAGAGCTGAAGCTGGCAAGGTACTGAAATTATTGGTTAAAACCAGCAGTAGATATTACTTTATTGGCACCTTCAGTCCTTCTCCTACCAAACCAATCTTAAACGATGAGCTGTGGAGGTTGTTAGGAAATGATTTATTATTTTATTCAGGGCTATTGGTATAGTTTTATAGTTGGGTGTTTGAAGTTCATTCTCCCTTTCCTTTCAGATATTTTTATCTTTATTTATCTTTTTGTTACGGATTTCAAAATAATTTTGACCAGCTGATTTTTAATCTCTGATAAAACTGATTAAGACTGCCTTGAGATAATGTCGTCTTTCAAATCCGAAAAAATTAAACAGTGATTTTACATTATATTAAGAGGTTTCTTTAAACTTGATTCCGTTGCAACTGCACTAACACTTCGAACCTGATTCGGAGAAATTCATTCATAACAATTAATGAATGATAATTAAGTTTTAAAAATGTACGCATTTATGACGCCGAAATGTGCACTTGGAAACGCCTACAATTACATGCATTGATTTGCATAAGTGCATGCAGTAGATTGGTTCTTTTATATTCAAACTGCAGAGAAAATCGTATTTCTAGATTAGTCATTTGTTGTTCAAAGAAAAAGTACTGCCATGAAAAGGAACATTGAAAGCTTTATACTTTTAAAATGAAGAATATCACTGTAAACTCCGGTTCATTTCAAGTACCGGACCGGCTAGAGCGAGCTGTACAGTACAAAAACTATAGACTAAGGCAAAACGGGACGGTGCGCCAAATGAATGACTCCATTCTCGTAATATTAACGTGTGATATATGATGATGCTATTTTAGCCGTATCCTGTCCTCTGATCCATGTGTTGAGGGTAACTATGAGATTGTAGCTGGCCAGGCGCAGAGAAGTTTCAATCATCATCTCTCTGTAGGAAACCTTGCTCCAGTCTGTGATAGTAAACTGCTCCAGGGTTGGTACAGGTAAAACAACTTTTCTTTTAATTCTTAGAAGTAACTCTTTCAAATTTACATTCTTGTTTCTTTGTATTTTTGTATCCTTGTATTCTTGTTTCCTTGTATTCTTGTATTCTTGTATTCTTGTATTCTTGTATCCTTGTATTCTTGTATCCTTGTATTCTTGTATCCTTATATTCTTGTTGCCTTTGTGCTTTTATCCATGTGCTCGTTATCCTTTTATCCTTGTATCCTTGTATTAAGTATCCATGAATCTTTTTATCCACACATTCACGTATTCATGAATCCTTTTATTCGTTTGTCTCTTTCTTTTCGTATCATTGTATCCATGAATCTATGTGTATCAATGTTTACTTGTATTCATTTATAATATCTGCTATTGTATCCATGCATCTATATAATCATGTATCCGTTTATCCACTTTTAATATCTGTATTGTATCCATGCATCTATATAATCATGTATCCGTGAATCCATTTGTAATATCCGTATTGTATTCATGCATCTATATATTAATGTATCCGTGTATCCACTTTTAATATCCGTATTGTATCCATGCCCCTATATAATCATGTATCCGTTGATCCATTTGTAATATCTGTATTGCATCCATGCATCTATATAATCATGTATCCGTGTATCTATTTGTAATATCTGTATTGAATCCATGCATCTATATAATCATGTATACGTGTATCTATTTGTAATATCTGTATTGCATCCATGCATCTATATAATCATGTATCCCTATTTGTAATATCTGTATTGCATCCATGCATCTATATAATCATGTATACGTGTATCTATTTGTAATATCTGTATTGCATCCATGCATCTATATAATCATGTATCCGTGTATCTATTTGTATTATCTGTATTGCATCCATGCATCTATATAATCATGTATCCGTGTATCTATTTGTAATATCTGTATTGTATCCATGCATCTATATAATCATGTATCCGTGTATCTATTTGACCAACTGGATTCAGGGACAAATAAAATGTAAAATTTTTCTATTGCCCCCAAGACTTGCCTACTAACTATCTACCCTCTTATCATATCTAAAATTTTATCCGCTGAAACGAATGTATAGTGTTTGAACCCAATATTTTATCTGAAAGGTCGAAATATCCCTGCTCCAGGTTCTCCAGGTTCCCTGTGTACCCAGGCCAGGAGCAGTTATAAACAAAAACTGTAATTGGTTAAAGTTCCGGCCTGAGAAATGGGTTCTTTACCCCTTCATGCAACTCATTTCCCGACATATTCCCAAAATATTTAGTTCAAATTGCAACACAATACAACCACCGTCGTCTCACTTTATGTACGTATTTAGTTATTTTAATTTTAAACACGCTCTTTTGTTCATCTTCATACAGTGAACCCCTTAATAAAGAATACATCGGAAGAACATTCCATTATCAGAAAGTGAAGATTACGACATTTGATGAATTCGTTATGAAGGGTTTCACTGTACATGGACTAATTACTCTGAACTCGTCCACCTTGGAGATTTAGTTTTTTTCCTCATTTTTAGAACAAAAAAATATCATTTAATTATTGATTTTGAATATCTAGATAAAAAGTTATTAAACTACCAAAGATCAATCCAAAAATATATATTTTTCCGAATTTCAAATGTAAACATGAGCTTTACTTCAGGTTTGATTCTCCGGCTGGAAACATGCTCCCTACAGAGTGTCCCGGAGGAAACTATTGTGGAACTCAGATCCCAGTCTGGATGAAAGGTAGGAGAAAAATTATATTGCAAACTTATACTCTAAACTGAACCTGAAACTGAACCTTAAACTGAACATTAAACTGATCCTTAAACTGCTCTATATCCTGAACCTTTAATTACTCTATACCCTAAACCTTAAACTACTCTATATCCTGAACCTTAAACTACTCTATATCCTGAACCTTAAACTACTCTATATTCTGAACCTTAAACTTATCTATATCCTGAACCTTAAACTACTCTATATCCTGAACCTTAAACTACTCCATATTCTGAACCGTAAAATTATCTATTTCTTGAACCTTAAACTACTTTATATCCTGAACCTTAAACTACTCTATATCCTGAACCTTAAACTACTCTATATACTGAACCTTAAACTACTCTATATCCTGAACCTTAAACTACTCTATATATTGAACCTTAAACTACCCTATATTCTAAACGTTAAACTACTCTATATCCTGAACCTTAAACTACCCAATATTCTAAACGTTAAACTACTCTATATCCTGAACCTTAAACTGCTCTTTATCCTGAACCTTAAACTACTCTATATCCTGAACCTTAAACTACCCTATATCCTAAACCTTAAACTACTCTATATCCTGAACCTTAAACTACTCTATATCCTGAACCTTAAACTACTCTATATCATAAACCTTAAAATAATCCATATACTAAACCTTAAACTACTCTATATCCTGAACCTTAAACTACTCTATATCCTGAACCTTAAACTACTCTGTATCCTGAACCTTACACCACTCTATATCCTGAATCTTAAACTTTTCTATATACTGAATCTTTAACTGCTCTATATACTGAACCTTAATTTACTCTATATCCTGAACCTTAAACTACGTATTCTGAACCTTAATCTACTCTATATCCTAAACGCTAAACTACTCTATATACTGAATCTTTAACTGCTCTATATCATAAACACTAAACTACGTATTCTGAACCTTAAATATTACTTTAAAACTTGGAAAATCTGAATTGCAACTTGAAAGCTACGAGTTTTCGATCTCTTATTCACTATCTTTCTCTTTTTCTGAGTGTTACTATCTATCTAAAGTTGATACACTACTTGAAGGTATAATTAAGTATGAATAGCGTCTAGAAGGTTAACCAACGAGCTGACAACATGTGATTACTCAAGTTACTTTATAATACACACTTATATGTTATCAGATACGTCAACACGAAAAGAAACATTGGTTTAACAAGTGAAAATATAAATTAAAATTAAAAGCATCAACCCCTTCCCACCCCCCCACCCCCCACACACACAAACCTCCCTGCATTCTTATGCATTACCTCTCTCATTTTCCTTCCCTGTAATTATGTTGATGTGTTATTTTAAACAAATCGCCCAGTACTTTCTTGTGCAAGGTTAAGCCAAAACTAGATCCTCAAAATTTCTATTTTTGTCTTTACATCCTAGAAGTTTAGAGCTCCTGGGTTTAAATAAAATCCTGATATTAAGAACACAGTTATGTCCCCCCCCCCCTCCATCTAATAAAAAACCTTCTCCTTAGGTACCACCCCTTCCTTCCAAGGAAGTGGGTTACTAGGTACAATTTCAAGGATCTTCTAATGAGTAGTGGTTTCTGTGGTATAAGACCATGTACACCAAGACAACCCCTATACATAACTTAGCATTTTTTAACGCTCGGGAAAAGGTATCGTAAAGGCTTAAACGTGCAAAGAGGAGGTATTGAAAAGACTTAAACGCGCAAAGAGAAGGTATTGTAAAGACTTAAACGTGTAAAGAGAAGGTATTGTAAACACTTAAACGTGTAAAGAGAAGGTATTGTAAAGACTTAAACGTGTAACGAGGAGGTTAGTGTAAAGACTTAAACGTGTAAAGAGAAGGTATTGTAAAGACTTAAACGTGTAAAGAGAAGGTATTGTAAAGACTTAAACGTGTAAAGAGAAGGTATTGTATAGACTGAAACGTGCAAAGAGAAGCTATCGCAAAGATATCAACTTGTACGGTTGAGTTGAGATGGTAACCACAAGTTCAAGAGGAAGAAGCCTACAATTAAACTTATATTAATTGATGGTATTTGGCAAAAACTGTTAATTACGCATGTTTAACCGACCGAAGGGGATTTATATTGATTAAGGTTAATATTCAGTAAAATGTTTTAACATTTTTCATAATTTAAAATATTACCAAATATATTTTTATAAAAAGGAATAGTATTCAATATCTCAATAAAACAATAATATCCGTGGTAAGAGAATAAAATGATTCTATTGCACTCCCATTAAAAACATTTTAAATTGCACACAGTTAATCAATTGATACAGTTTATGTGTGGATATTTTAATTTTATAATTCAGAGCTGGGAACTTTATAATGGGATACCTTTAATCCCGACTGCTTAATCCGAATATCCAATGTAGACACTTTTAATGTCTTTCTTAATCCACTCTTTTTTGGATAAAGTACAGAAAAATCAAACCGGTTTTTCGAAATTAGAGAGTCCCACCCGAGTCTGTATTAATCTTAAATGGCGCACAACATTTCAAAGTTCCCGGCTTCTGATGCGCGATTCTGATTGGTTGAATTTATAAACTTTTCTGGATACAAGTAAAAGATTAGATTAATCTCGAGATTAAAAAAGATAGGATCAAGCATTGATCTCGATATCCACTATTCTAAAGTTCCCAGCTCAGGCTGTATTTCTATTTTGACTAGAATTTGTTTGAACCTCTGATTCCTTGGCTTAACTTTTCTGCCTGGATCCCTGAGTCCCTGACTGCTTGAATCTCATAACTGCTTGACTGTTGAAACTCTGACTGCTTGAATCTCTAACTGTATAAATCTCTGACTGCTTGAATCTCTAATTGTCTGAATCTCTGACTGCTTGAATTTCTGATTGTTAAATCTCTGACGGCTTGAATCTTTAACTGTCTTAATCATGACTGCTTAAATATCTAACTGTCTGAATCTCTCACTGCTTGAATTTTAATGGCTCGAATCTCTGACTCCCTTAGTCACTGACTGCTTGAATCTCAAACTGCCTAAATCTCTGACTACTTGAATCTCTGACTGCTTGAATCTCTGACTGTCTGAATCTTTGACTGCTTGAATCACTAACTGCCTTAGTTACTGACTGCTTGAATATCTATCTGTCTGAATCTCTGACTGTTTGAATCTCTATCTGCCTGAATCCCTGACTGCTAGAATCTCTAACTGTCTGACTTTTGATTCTCTGACTGCTTGAATCTCTAATTGTCTGACTTTTGAATCTCTGACTGCTTGAATCTCTAACTGTCTCACCATTGAATCTCTGTCTGCTTGTATCTCTAGCTGTCACAATCCCTAACTGCTTGAATCTCTTACTGTCTGAATATCTGACTGCTTAAATCACTAATTGCCTTATTCACTGACTGCCTCTGACTCCCTGAGTCCATGACTGCTTGAATCTCTGACTGCTTGAATCTCTGACTGCCTGAGTCCCTTACTGCTTGAATCTCTGACTGCCTAAATCCCTGACTGCTTGAATCTCTGACTGCCTGAGTCCCTGACTGCTTGAATCTCTAACTGCCTAAATGTCTAACGCAGATGGAAACCCGGGCTTTCCCGGTTCAAAGAATCAAGGCTAATGTAGAGTAATCAAACCAATTTCGGATTGTTTGGATTTAGAATTTGTATGAAGAGTGTACAATGTTTATCATGTTGAAATCAATGGGTTTTATCTATTATGTAATTATCCTTTTTTGTTTTGTAAAATATAAATTTTTCTACCCCTCATTCCCTCATAATCAAACCCTCTACCTGGTTTTCTTTTAGTAAAAGTTTTATTTCTCTTACTTCCTTCTTTCTATTCAAACCTTCAGCGAACCCATTTTATTTTTTCCTATTTAAACCTTCATGGAGCCTACTTTCTTCTATCGTATTTGAACCTTCATTGAGCCTACTTTCTTCTTTCCTATTTGAACCTTCATGGAGCCTATTTTCTTCATTCCTATTTGAATCTTCATGGAGCCTACTTTCTTCATTCCTATTTGAATCTTCAAGGAGCCTACTTTCTTCTTTCCTATTTAAAACTTTATCAATCCTACTTCCTTCTTTCCTATTTAAAACTTTATCCAGCATACAACAGACAATTTTTCTTTCCTTTCAGTCCCGTATATACCTGAATCCTCTACCTATCCCTCCTATAGTTGGTCTATAGCTCCATCCTGGGCAAGACTAAATGAATTGCATTAATGTCGGGATTTATGTAACAGTAGATATATAATCTCTATCCTTAACTATATTCAGTAGTGGTGTTTATCTATCTATTTCATCTATTTATCTACCATTCAATTTCCCCCTGCTCTACGCATCACTGTATATGTCAGGCTTCAAAGAATAGATTTTAAACGGCATGAAACTGCGGGGAATCAATTGGGAATTTTAAGAGATTGTTCACGGTTAAGTAAAACTAATTCAACCGGTGTTTTGTTAAACCGAAGCATTGTAAAGTCCGGCTAGGTGATTAGTGCAATTAAAAAAGAGTTGAGTCTTTGCCACAAACTCTGATTTTCTAATGCCTATATCTTTGACCTTAGATATTTCAAGCGTTGAATTCTGTTAGATCAAATAATATAAGTTTGAAATATCAATGATTTACATCATTAGGTTGCAAAGATAAAGGGATTAGAAAATTTGAGTTTGTGGCAAAGATTATATTCCTATGACAATATAATTTAGAAATATAGGCACAAGAGCCTTTTTTGTTTTGTATCTGCAAGGAAGATAAAAAACTTAAGAAAGTGGATGAGTTGGTTTGATTTCTCACAAAAAACTGCAGTACACTTTTTTATCACGCAAAGATAAAAGAGGTTATTCTGTACCTTGCCTGGAAAATGAATTATGTAAGAGCGTACAACTATGTCTGCAACATATTTATGGCCTAAAAGTTAAATTAGATTTTTTTTTAAATAAGTTTCTAATAAACAAAGAAATTAAGTGGCTATTTAATTTTACACCTAATAAGCCTTCTAAAATGAAGTCTTGTCTTTTTGTTGCTGATGTAAATATTAGAAATTTGTAAATTTTAATTTTATTTATCTAAAAATACCCGAAATCAAAGGAATTGAGTTTTTGCCAGAAACTCAAATCTTCTGATCCCAATATCTTTGCAACCTGATGGTGCAAACCTTTGATATCTCAAACTTAGATTATTTTATCGATAAGTATTAATAGCTTGAAATATCTAAGGTCTACGACATTGGGTTACAAAGATATAGGGATTAGAAAATTAGAGTTTGTGGCAAAAACTCAACTCCTTTGTTCCGCTAATGGTTCAAAGAATAATACAAGTCTAACAAATATTTAAAATACAATGTTGTCAATGATTATTTTAAAATTGTCATTAAAAATCCTATGTTTTTTGGAAATCCCTGAATTAAAACTGTTAATATCAATTATTGCAATTTCAAGCTTCGAATATTGGCACTTAGACCCGCAACGAATTGAAATTTTGTCTATATTACATGTCTTAATATTGATTGCAAAACCCAATTCCTGCAATTTTGTTAACCTAACCGAATTGCATATATGCGTTTGGAAACCCCTAATCATGTATGCGAAAATCCTAGAACTTGGTAATATAATCTGGTTTCTGCACACTCTGGACTGAATTGGCAAAATATCTGCATAATAATTAGGGTTAAAAGAATGTAAAATACTCTACTCAATCAACGACTAAATTAACTAAATTTTGGCTTAATTCTTTCCAATCTTAAATATTCAAAAACCTTTATTTTCCGGGTTATTTGAGGAATAGAGTTGGGTAAGGGGGTGAACAGGGAATGGATTATGATGGAGACGGATAGGTGCCTCAAAAAAAATTAATACTTTCTAGTCTCATAGTGCGAGGAAAAAGATATAATGCCTCAAAAAAATAGGAGAAGGTGTATTGCTTCCGAAAAGACGATAAATTACCTCCGATGAGGAGGAGACGGAGCATTGCCTCCGAAAAAATGAATTGTGTGTTTTTACGCTTCACATTGTGTGGTCTAGGTTGCGTGTAAGTAAAGGTCTTGAAAATAATATTGCAGTTTATAATATTATATATCTACACAATATTGAACAGGGATAGTGTTCTTTACCCTGCATTAAATATAGTGTCTAAATGCATCTAAATATAGTGTCTCGATGCATATAAAACCATGTAGGATCTTGATGCATCTAAATGTTTTGATTATGCAACTCAGCTCAGTCTAAATATGAATTTAATATAGATACCCATATTCATGACTATACTTTTTGCAGGGGGGGGGAGAGATGTGTTGAAAGGTGCGGAGAGGGGGGGGGGTGAAATAAATATTTGCTTTAAAGGGAGTGTTTGCGAAAAATGAAAGGGGGTATAGGCTTAATGCGATAAAAAAGCGCTTTTGATCGCTGCTAATCTTTCTTCTATCTGTTGCGTCTATAAGGAGAAAATTGTTAATGACGTCTCATACCGAATAACTTAGCGCCCATACAAATTCAGAAAATTGCAACATACGACTTAGACCGTAAAAAAAATCAATTTAATTTCAAACAAATCATTCAGATATTACAACCTAAAGTCATCGATTATCTTTCGCCACATTTGTATATAGTTTATATTTTATAATATTTTTTAATTAATTTGTTTTGAATTTGATTATTTCTCTTGTTGCTTGCGCAACTATCTAAGAATGCTGCGCAACACTCACATTTTTCGAAATCCGTTAAAACGTTTTCTATACCCCCTTTCATTTTTCGCGAACACTTCCTTTAAATCCTTGTAATACCTAGGAACTATTAGCAGGCTCAGTTACATATGTTTACGTAGGGTTCGAAATGTCTTATATTTTCTCAGGGTTGCCGGATATATCATAGGACTTACTCCGGATACAGATCCTGGTTCAGGAATACAGGGGGTATAGAATACAGTTCATATGCCAGGAATACAGGGGCAGATACAGTTTATATACTAAGAATACAGGGGGTACAGGATACAGTTCATATTCCAGGAATACAGGGGCAGATACAGTTCATATACCAGGAATACAGTGGTAGATACATTTCATATATCAGGAATACAGGGGGTATAGGATACAGTTCATATACCAGGAATACAGGTGGTATAGGATACAGTTCATATACCAGGAATACAGGGAGTGCAGGATACAGTTCATATACCAGGAATACAGGGGTATAGGATACAGTTCATAAACCAGGAATACAGGGGTAGATACAGTTCATAAACCAGGAATACAGGTGTAGATACAGCTCATATTCCAGGAATACAGGGGGTATAGGATACAGTTCATATTCCAAGAATACAGGGGGTATAGGATACAGTTCATATTCCAGAATACAGGGGGTATAGGATACAGTTAATATTCCAAGAATGCAGGGGGTATAGGATACAGTTCATAAACCAGGAATACAGGGGTAGATACAGTTCATATTCCAGGAATACAGAGGGTATAATACAGGGGGTATAGGATACAGTTAATATTCCAAGAATACAGGGGGTACAGGATACAGTTCATATACCAGGAATACAAGGGGTACAGGATACAGTTCATATACCAAGAATACATGGGATATAGGATACAGTTCATATACCAGGAAAACAGCTAGGATTATTAAGGTTTATTAAAAGTTCACGCTTTCCAGTTTGATAACTTAATCTGTTTCCATATTGAGAAATAAAAAACAAACAATTTGATTTTTATTTAATATGCGTCTGTATGAGAGGGGGATAGAAGAGGGATTTCGATTACGGTAAACTAGCTGGAGTGCCAGGCGTTTTTTATTCATATTCATAGTTACTCTCACCGTTTACCCGCGCTTGGTATTAAAGCATTATTTTAGCTGAAGTGGCCGGAATTTCAAAAAAGCTTGACTGTGTCATCCCCGGTATACTCATACATTCCCGTAAAAATATTTTTGTTTAGTGAACATAAATTTAAATATTTATATTTCGGAATTAAACTTTACATTTTTGTTTTGAAAATAAATATACTTTAACTATATAAATATATTAATATAAACCAACAAGGGAATAATTAAAGTAAACATTATATATAAGTATATATGCGAAGAGCTTAATCATATAGATGATTTAAAAAATTTGAAAATATAGAAAAATTTACAAAATATCATGTTTTTTCGGATCATAAAGAAAGTGTTATATAATTCTTTTAATAAAAATGAGTGTTACAATTTGTTTGTTGATCAAGGTTAAATTTCAGATCTGTTTGCATACAGTATAATTATCATATATAACTTGTAATTTTATTGTCCATCCATCTATATCTGTCAAATATATATNTATCTATCTATCTATCTATCTATCTGTATATGTATCTATATATAAATCTATATATCTATCTATCTATCTATCTATCTATCTATCTATCTATCTATCTATCTATCTATCTATCTATCTATCTATCCATTTATATATCTATCTATCTATCTATCTATCTATCTATCTATCTATCTATCTATCTAGGTAGTGTACCAAGTGTAGATGAGGGTATAGTACAGACTACTGCCTGTATAAACCAGGACCGGGAGTGTTGTGTTGCAGAACTTAATATCCAGGTGCATCAAATACTACAAACAACAAATTGACAGAAGAAAAATTATCGAACAAAACACACAATTTGCAAGAAAAAAAGCTGCATGCAACCACGCTAACATCCGACAATTCTTAGAGTTTTTTCCTGTTTTTTTCTCTCCCTAAACTCCCCGGTGACAGGCCCGGTTTAACCTTAAAGACTCACCTTCCTTCAATATTAAAGTTTTTTTTTGCAGAAACTTAAAAGAGAAAAATTGGATAAATAAACAAGAAATATTTTATTTTCATATCGATCTTTTTATATATTTTAAAACTCCCGTTGAACACTGAGGAACAATTTCTGTCGTTTTCTTTAACGCAGTTTTTACTTTTTTAATCAGTTCTATTAACCCTGCTTTAAACCTGTTTTCTAGGTTCGGAACTGTAGTAGCTGGGTTCTCTAAACCTGCTTTAAACCTATTTTCTAGGTTCGGAACTGAAGTAGCTGGGTATCCTAAACCTGCTTTAAACCTGTTTTCTAGGTTCGGAACTGTAGTAGCTGGGTTCCCTAAACCTGCTTTAAACCTGTTTTCTAGGTTCGGAACTGTAGTAGCTGGGTATTCTAAACCTGCTTTAAACCTGTTTTCTAGGTTCGGAACTGTAGTAACTGTCTATCCTAAACCTGCTTTAAACCTATTTTCTAGGTTCGGAACTGTAGTAGCTGGGTATCCTAAACCTGCTTTAACCCTGTTTTCTAGGTTCGGAACTGTAGTAACTGGGTTCTCTAAACCTGCTTTAAACCTATTTTCTAGGTTCGGAACTGTAGTAGCTGGGTTCCCTTAACCTGCTTTAAACCTATTTTCTAGGTTCGGAACTGTAGTAGCTGGGTTCTCTAAACCTGCTTTAAACCTGTTTTCTAGGTTCTGAACTGTAGTAGCTGGGTTCTCTAAACCTGCTTTAAACCTGTTTTCTAGGTTCGGAACTGTAGTAGCTGGGTTCCCTTAACCTGCTTTAAACCTATTTTCTAGGTTCGGAACTGTAGTAGCTGGGTATTCTAAACCTGCTTTAAAGCTGTTTTCTAGGTTCGGAACTGTAGTAGCTGGGTTCTCTAAACCTGCTTTAAACCTATTTTCTAGGTTCGGAACTGTAGTAGCTGGGTATCCTACTACCTGGTTCCGACTCCAGGATGTTTTATGGGATACTGTGTCGGAGAAGGGGTTCCTTGTCCTCCTGGTCTAGCCAGTGCTAACGGATATACTCCTTGTGATTGTAAGTATAAAATTTTCAGTTTAAAAAGTTTGAAATTTGTCCTTCCTTTGCAAAATCTTTTTTATTTTAAAGCTTTGATAGCGGAAGTTAAGATTCAAATTCCAAATTTTGACCTCATAAAATACAATTTCACAATGAAAAGACATTCAGAACAAAATAAAATAAAATTCTATTCGACGTTGCTATATTTAGAGATTTTGACAATACAAAAAAAACAGTTTCTGGGTTTACAAAGAAAAGAAATTCTCTTAACAGAAAAATCGGATAGAATTTAAATTATTTTGTAAAATGTCATTCATAATTCAATTATGGTTTGTTCCGTTTATATTTTATTTTTTACAATGATGTTTTCACTTTTGTTTAGAATAATCCTCTTTCTAATTTGATACAGAGTAACTAATAAAAAATAAGACTTCCGAAAACTTTGCACGTGTGTCCTTCCCTTTCAAATCACTGAGATTACCTTTCAAAAAATACGTTGACGGCAGAATTAAAACCATCCTTTTAGGTTGTCATTCAAGTTTCTTCTTTTATTGTTACCCCTTTTCATGCATACCATATTATTTTGATGCTTGTATTTTGTATGAAAAGGTGTAATTAGTGCACTTTTGCATTTTTATCAAAAAATACAGCACTTTTTTAGAATAGATCCAATACTATCTTGAAAGGCCATCTTTAAATTTTCACGGTCTCTGAATCACTGATGTGGTCAGATTTAAATCAATTCACTTTTATTCTTATTTGAAAACTCTTAGTTTATTGTTACAATATATTTCAAGTTTATTCTAAATGCATTTTATTATCCTAATTTGTTTAAAACATCATCACGTTTTTTATTCTTTTACACTTTTTCTTCTTTACAACTTTTTAACATTTAACTTTCCACTACTGAATCCAATTTTTTAAACATTTCACAAAGAAACAGAGTTTTTACAACAAACTCTGATTTTATAATCCTCATATGAAATTGAAACCCGATGTGTAGATCTTTGATAGTTCTAACTTTTTATTTTGTTAGATCAAGATTGAAAAATCAAAGGTTTGCACCATCATTAAATTGGGATTATAAAATTTAACTTTGTGGCAAAAACTCATTTGTTTGAACTTGAAAATGGGTTGCTATACAGGTACCATATCTATATTGATGTAACGCTCAAGGCAAATATGAATTGCCCTGCATCTATTTTTATATATTGTCCAGTAAAACACAAGGGCGGTTTGGAACTGATGTCATGCGTATCCTAGAACTGGTTGAACCTTGTATCCAGAGTTGTGAGTTTATGTATGTATAATTACGCTGGGTAAGCTCGATGCTCACGATTATCTATTCAAAAATTTAAGATTATTCCACCCTGAGCAGTTGCGGGATATATCTCAATCCTTTCCAGTCGTTCAGTACTACAGTGGTACACGGAGTAAATCAAAGGTTTGAGGCCATTCACGGTTAAATTTCAAGTTCAAAGGTATATGCGGAGATAAAGGTTAGAAAAGGTTAAAGGTTTTTAAATCGTAAATTTCAGAATAAACAAGGTAAATCAGAGGTTTTTAGGCCTCAGTGTAAATCAAAGGTATTAAGATGCCTAATATAAACTGTAGTTTTTATAGTATCCTAAGGGCACCACAGTTTTGAGAGAAAACCAAAGGTTTCGTGAAAATCAATACGTTTCATTTTAACAAGAGTAAATCATAGGTTTCGATCAACCCGGATTAAATCACAGGTTTCGATAACACTGAAATATAGTCAACGCCTCGCCTCACAAACTCATTTATTCTTTTTGTAGCTCTAGACATATAAATTTAAAAATGCAATGCTCTTGTTTTTAGCTTAAGTTAAAATGAGTAATTGGCAAAATACAGCTTGATTTTGCCTTGAGAGAGTGCACATCTTGGTTTGCAGTGTTCAACCCATAGAAAATCATAGGTTTCAATCTACTGGTATTAAATCATAGGTTTCGATCAACCTAGAGTTGCTTGTATTTTTTGCGTGAGAGCGTGCACATCTTGGTTTGCAGTGATCTAACCCAGTGAAAATTTATTTCGATATTATATTGGTGGAAAAAAGGGAGTGACCGGCTATGTAAGGTAGTTTAACTGAGTATGCAGTGTTGTGAAAAACTCCTTTCGGATTCATTTGAGACATATTAAACTTTTTAAAGATCTGTAAATCCTGAGTTTGAGCGCAAATTCGACGTTCAAAACTCCTACTTTGGGGTTGGATACTTTTCCAGAATTAGTTTTTTTAATTATCAAATAACGACGACATTAAATGTAAAAAAGTTCTACAATAAACTATAGACGTCATGTATAGGAACATTTTTAGAAAATAAAAATCAATCTTATCATCGAAAATAAATAATCTTGTTCAATTATTAGTTTCTATTTTCTCATTATTCTGGTTTCTCATTATTCACAAAGATTTTCTGCAGATTTTCTAGAATTATTATTGAAAAGACGACATTTGAAGAATTTGAAGAAATCTGTGAATAAATTCAAAGAAAATAAGAAATTTAATATTCAAAAACGAAATAATCGATTCAAGCATTGATTTATTGACAAATTTCTTTTGAGAAATATGTTCCTAATCATTTAATTAGATTACTGTATAATTTTTTCTTTTTTTTTCGTTGTCGTTATTCAATAATTAAAAAAAAATAATTCTGAAAACGTATCCACCCCCAAAGTAGGAGTTTTATACGTCGAATTTGCGCTCAAACTCAGGATTTACAGACTCAATTCAACTACCTTATATAGCCGGGCACTCCCTTAAATCACAAGTTTCGATCAATCAAGAGTAAACCAAAGGTTTTGATATACAAAAGATTTTAAAGTTTAATAATCTTCGATCTTCAAAATATATAAGACTAGCTGAAATGTCCGGCGTTGCATGTGGAATTTTCAAGAAATCGATTTTGAAAGCCAAAATTTCAATTTTGTTGCCTTTGTTACCTATAGGTTAAATAAGGGTTCCCTAAAAAAAAATTCAGCCCATTCGGTCCAGCTGTTTGGCCAGCTATAGCTAACAATATATACATATATATACATGATCGTGGGAAAAGTATTTTTTTAAAATATAAGATAAAAAGAATTGACCAGAACAAAACCACAGGTTTCGATTCATACCCAGAGTACGCAATACGGTTAAATCTAACCAAGGTATATCATAACATTTTAATTCAAAGTTTAATTATTTGATCTTTCCTTGAAATTAAGTAAAGGAATTGAGTCTTTGCCACAAACTCTACTTTTCTAAACCCTATATCTTTAGATTCCTATGTCGTATACCTTAGATCTTTCCAACTATGAATTCTGTAATATCAAGTAATGTAAGTTTGAAATATCAAAGATTTGCGACAATGAATTCCAAAGATATAGGGATTATAAATTCAGAGTTTGTCGCAAAGACTCAATTCCTTGTCTGATAAAAGTTAAAATGCATTTAGGAAAAACTTTATTTCCTTTCTTCCTGAACAGTTATTTTCAACTAAAGTAATTAAGTCCCGGAATCTTTATAAATCAAAGACGATCAATCAAATATAATTTCAGTTACAGTAAAGTTGGTTGAAACAGTTCTCACCCAGGGAACCAACAATCTCCAGTCCGAGATCATCTTCTCCTGCAACACCATCCTCAAGGACGTCCTGGACCCCGGCAGTATAGAGATCGAGGTAATGTGGTTTGTGGAGGAGAAGAACGTTCTGTCGGAGACATTCCTGGCCAGTAGTAAGGTGTCCGCTACACTCTCCCAGGAGTACTGGAGTATGGGGCAGACGGTAAGCTTTTTAGTTCAAAACTCTTCTTTTGAAATTTAAAAAGTTTTATAAAATACTTTATTGTAAAAGAACACTGTACAGAACAAGCTAAAATTCTATTTTCAGGAATAAATAACTTTTTTTACTTTGATCCTATTCTTTTTTTTAAAAGACAAAACATTACACGCACCTGTGCCCCTTCAGTAAAAGTAAATTCAACCTATTTGAAGCATAAAGTCGGACCGCGTCAACTTCACATTTCTAAGTAAAGAAACTAAACACTTGTCACAAACTCCAAATTTCGAATTTATAGTTTGAAATGTCAAAATGTCTAAATAAGTGTTTAGTTCCTTTCATTTCAATTCTAGCTTTTGCTTGATTCGACATTTTATTGTATTTATTTTAGATTCGGTGTGAATCGCAAGCAAAGCACACCGTGGTCGGGGCTAGAACAGAAAAAATGGTAATTAAATCTATTCCAATATTGGAACGAAAACAAAAAAAATATTTTTATAATTGATAAGACAGGACAGCAAGAATACGCAAATTTAAATAAATAAATAAAATTCAGTATGTAGCATCTTCAATAAAGGTATATTCTATAGGCTCTAAAAATACTATTAAAGTCCGGCCTGTAAAGTACACAATAAAGTATCCTCTGATGGCGAGATTGGTCTTCTTGAAACAAACTATCTACATATAATATTAATTTAGCGGTGTTTCTTGCATTATTCTATAATTTCTTCAAACACACATCTTATCTTTAAATAGATAAACAGTCCCTCTAGTTAGATAAAGAAAGATGTTTACTCATGTAAACAGTCCCTTTAGTTAGATAAAAAAAGATGTTTACTCATGTAAACAGTCCCTTTAGTTAGATAAATAAATATGTTTACTCATGAAAACAGTCCCTTTAGTTAGATCAAAAAAGATGTTTACTCAGGTAAACAGTCCCTTTAGTTAGATAAATAAAGATGTTTAATCATGTAAACAGTCCCTTTAGTTAAAAAAAGAAAGATGTTTACTCATGTAAAAAGTCCCTTTAGTTAGATAAAGAAAGATGTTTACTCATGTAAACAGTCCCTTTAGTTAGATAAAGAAAGATGTTTACTCATGTGATGATTGTCGTTACAACTTAACTAAAAGAAAAAAGATTGTTAATAAGTAATTAAATGTTCCATGAAATGAACTCTAAATCGATAAACAATAAAAAATAAATTAGCTTTACAATTAAATCTGGCAGTTGAGTTATATATGTATTTTATCACAAGGGATTTCCACTAACAATGATTTTCAAGATAAATAAGAAAATGTATTTCATTTTATTTATTTTTAGAACAGGGGAATTCACAGAATAGTTTCTAAAAAAATTTATTCCCTTATAAAAAGCTGGTTTTTTGGTATGCAACAATTTTCATTTAATCCCGCCCCTTTTTAAAAATACTAATAAACATTAAAAATAATTTGTTATTTTTTACAAAGGAATGTCATTTACTCTCAGACAAATTAGAATCTAATTTCTCTGAGAGTAAATGATACATTTTTTAATTCCACTGGAGTTTTCTCTATTCTCTGTCCTTTTATTCAAACCTCAGTTGTAAAATAAAAACTGTATCAAAGAAAATATAAGAGGGTGTTGTATAAATCGTAGATGTTTTACGCTTCAAAAATATTTACTTTGTTTTATAAAAAAATACGAATAATGTAAAAGATAATTTGTTGTCCCTGATATATTCCTGATATATTCCTGATATATTCCTGATATATTCCTGATATATTCCAACACAAATAAATAATAAAAACATATTTCCAAACTATTCATTTTTCAACTTTAATCTACATTATTAATCTTCATTAGACGAGTGAGTCCTTCTTCGCTGGAATCAAGATTATCTCCGGGTACCCCCTGGTAGTGGAGGAGGGAGGACCCCCATCCAACCTCACCTTAAAGTCTACCGTTCCTGTGCTTTGCTCTCCACAGGATAGGGTTGGATCCTGCTGCATCAACCTGGAGATAGCGTTGAACCAGGTCGAGGAGAAACAGTACTGTCCAGCTGGAGGAGTTCTAGACAGGGTAAGAATATTCATGGTTAAATTATTAAATACTCCACCCCCCCCCAAAGTTTTTTCATTTCACACTGCGTCGGAGTTTGAGGCAAGTTTTCAGTTCCTTTCCCCGTGAAAGTGAGCCCCGTGGTATTTGATGATAAGGGTCAGTTTATGGTGGAAGATTAATGACAAGATCTGTTCCTAAATAAACTGAGATTATCCTGGTTGAACAAGGTCTATAGATCTACATGTACGCGCAGTAAGAATTAATGGGTTGCAAAATTTTAAACGGAACACGGAGCGGTGCTCTTTATATCAAAACTTTACTCGGAGTCTTACTGTAATCTTAGGTTTAAAGTGTATTAGGAGCAAGGATTGATAAATTGCAGTCTAATGTAATCTTTGGTCAAAATATAATCAGAGTAAGGATATATAGATTACAGTCTTTTCTCTACGATTTGGTGAAAGTGTAATCCGAGTAAGGATGGACCAATTGAACTTCTGTACAGTACAATTTGGTCATAGTGTAATCCGAGTAAGGATGGACCAATTGAACTTCTGTACAGTACAATTTGGTCATAGTGTAATCAGAGTAAGGATTGATTGATTGCAGTCTATACTGTAAAGTGTAATCAGATTAAGGACGGATTGATGGCAGTCTGTACTGTAAAGTGTAATCAGAGTAAGGATGGATTGATTGCAGAATGTACTGTAATCTTAGGTCTGTAAATCAAGCTGTGTACCCAGAGCTAGGATTTACTGATGATAGGAGAGGAATTCATCCTTCCTATCTTCAGATTGATGGTTGGGGATAAACAATCATTATTATAATAATGATAATACATGAACTGTAGTCTGTGTATCTAAGTGTACCCGGATAAAGGATTGATGGATTAAATTGTTTATATGTGAGCTGTGACCAGGTCGTTTATTCTCAATTTGTCCCTTACTCAGTTCCAGAGTAATCAGGTTGAACTAATCCAACCTATTAATCAATCCTAGTTCTTCTAAACCCTTTTATCCAGAGATTCGACCAGAACAATTTATTTCTGAATAGAAAGTTCAAGTTCAACCAAACAAACACAAACTTGAAAATAGTAAAGAATAGAGAGGAAATAACTGTTTAGGGTTATCACACTTCAAACTAAAGTAAACTTTACGTTAGATTAGAACTATATTCTAATCATTATTTCTCATTTTAAAGGGCAATCGAGAAGAACAGAAAAAGTTGTGCCATTTATTATATAAAATCAAACAAATTCGTTCTTTATATATGGGCGTGAAATCAAAACTAGAGAAGCTACGATGTCACAAAGTCGTACTGTTACCTTTTCTTTATTTCTAAATTGTAGTGACCAATAGCACACTAATTTTTTGCTATATATAATACTAGCTGAAGGGCCCGGCGATGCCCGAGGAAAATTTTTTTTTGAAAAGGTTGAAAAAAATAAAATTAGAAAAAAAATTTAAAAAATTTAAAAAAAGAATTCAATTTTTTAGCTTTAAACACCCCTCGGCCACCCCTGAGTGTCCTCAAAAACTTTTAACCCATTCGGTCCATCCGTTTGGCCGGCTATAGGCAACATATTTATAGGAATGTCTTGTTTTATTATATAGATGGTTCTTGTTTTCTCTAGAAGAATTTTCTTGTTCCCTGAAGAATATGGTTCTTGTTTCCTCTAGAATATGGTTCTTGTTCCCTCTAGAATATGGTTCTTGTTTCCTCTAGAATATGGTTCTTGTTTCCTCTAGAATATGGTTCTTGTTTCCTCTAGAATATGAGCAATGAGAATCCTGAAAAGATATTCCTACAAAATGTCCTAAAATGATGATCTAGATGAAAAATCACCGTGATTTAAGGATATAATGCTAGATATAAACTAGAATATCCTGGAGCGAACACTTTGTCAATATTTGATCGAATTGCAACCAAAATATTCAAGATATTCAAAAATATGAAGAGATAAGTTTCATTGAACAGATCCATTTATTTTGCTTAAACGTTTATATGATTTTTTTTTCATTATTCCGGAAATTTCGCCAAATCAACGTTTTTAGCTCGAATTTTTCAAGGGATTAACTTAATTGTTTTAATTTATGATTAAACCCACGGTTCATGGGTTAGCTTAGCGGAGCAGATTTATCAATGTAAGCAAACCATGATATGAGTTACACTGGTAATTGCAAACAACAGAAATAAAACCTTGAATTTTCGTGAAATTAATTTTATAGCTGGTGAGTGCTGACGCAGAACAGCCAGGCGTTGCTCTACATTTACGCTTGACCAGAGCTATAAAGAAGAATTAAAGTTTCAAACTGAAACGGAAGAGGGCGGTTTATTATATTTAACCCCTCAGCTATTGAAGAATTTATTTTATCATGAGAAATATAACGGCATTATGCAAAATGTAGCTACAGCCTATGCAGGAAGCCCCCCCAAAAAACACGGGAATCTAGGAACAATGAAAACAATAGCCCAAGGTTCTGGCGTAATTCCCTCCAATCTCATCAAATACATGAATTTTATGTACAATTACTGTTACAAACTTGCAATCTTTACCCCTAAACTCCAGTATACCTAAGAGTCAGGAAAGAAACGTGTTAAAGGGATAATAACAAAGATAGCCATGCCTGTTCACAACGGAAATCTTGACACCTTTATCTGAAATGTGGAAGATATTGTCATTTTTCTAGTGTTTAATTCTGATATTGTCCGGAAGTAGAAATGCGCAAGTTATTTTTGCAGGGAAACCGCAATTGAAAAAAAATAGTTTTCAAAAAACTTAAATAAACTGGAGTTGGCAAGACAGGGTGAAATATTTGTACGAATAAGAGTAACAACAACCCTAAAAGCATAACTCTAGCTATAATGTCTGTTATTGTTAAGAAATTGTTCCATAATAGTTTCTCTTTGTTTTACCACCTTATGGGCACTGTGCAGTCTCTGTTAGGCAATATATAAATTATGTACAATAAAATTACAGTGTCTTGGCCCTCAACAGCTGGAAGGGAAAACTCAACTTCTATTAATTTAGAAAAATCTGTTAAACAAAACTTCACTTTTACCAACCCCATTTGAGACAAAATATATATATAGATATGGAAGTCATGGGATATTTTTAAACTCGTTCTAATTTTTTTAAATCAATAATAAAGTCTATTTTCTTAATTTAAAAAACATTTGTTTAGCCTTTAGATTTCAGCATTTAATAAATAGAAATATAATAACTATATATCGCAGGCCATGTTGTATGTACAAAGAATACAGATTTTGGGGAATTTGTTTTTACTGTATAGACCTGATAATAGTTTGCATAAGGAACTGAGTTCTTCTCACAAACTCTGATTTTCTAATCCCCATATCTTTGCAATACGATGTCTTCGACCTTTGATATTTCAGCTGTGAACTCTGTAATATTAAATAGTCTAAATTAGTAACCACCTGGTTACAAAGAACTAGGGTTTGTGGAAAGAACTCTTTTGATGAAAAAATTGTGAGTATCGATCTGGGATGAGTTTAAAGTATCAGGGTTTAGTTAATTTTATCTTTCCTGATTTAAAACTAATAATATACATTCATGATTCCAAGATCTATTATCGGTCAAACCTTATGTCAGGGTTGGGTTCAGTTTCTTATCTCAGATCTCACAGGTGGTCAGAGCTCAAAACCTCGAGTTGTGCATGGTTCACTTTACTCCGTGTTGTTGATAGACTAGGGGAGCACTTAAGGTCTAATTGATGGAGCAAGACGTGCTGGGGGAGAAAGAAGAGGGATGTTTGAGGGGAGGTGTAAAGACAATTCAAAACAACTCTATTTTTAGTTAACTATTGTCATGATAAAATCATTAATTAGTTCAACATGGCTTAGATATCATGGACTTTTTTCTGCCTTGTATTTACAGTTATTATTCCCATTCCCATATTCATAGCTTTGGTCCATGTTATAAACTTTTGCTAAACAAGAAACTGTTAACAAAAGCACAGAATGGATTTGAGGATTCATATAAAAGAAAAATCTCAATTTTTCTAATCCCTATATCTTCACAACGTTGAATTTTTATTTAACAGAATTGAAACACATCGAAGGTCTACGACATTAGGTTCCAAAGATATTGGGATTAGAAAATTTTAGTTTATGGTGAGTAATTTGTTCCTTTTCTCCATTATATTGTACCCTTTTTACATTTTAGGGTTGATTTATTGGATTTCCATGACTTTTTACATTTTAGGTTTGATTTATTGGATTTCCATGACTTTTTTTATAAAACTTTTATTTAAAGAAAGATAAACTGAGTAAATGACCCAGTTATCTTTTTAAATCGATGGACAGTTATAAACAGGAGTGAGGGTGTATGTATGGGTTGAGTGTAAAGGTCTCCGCAACATGTCTTCACGTTTACTTCAGCTCCTGTTCTCATTGTTTAGGACACAATAAATACATTTATAATACAAAGACTGATTGGCAGTCATTCAAGGAATTCCGCGAATACTCTTTGCATAGTTTAGAACATTGGCAACAGGGAACAACATGTACAGTTCATCTTAAAGTGTACAGTTTCTGCTGTACTTTAGGGAAATATGTACAGAACAATGCGTAAAATTTAGGAAGTAAATGTACATGACGCAAAGTTTTGATAATTATCGTATACAATTATTTTATCGTAATATTGTTGTGAGTACTCACTACTCACTAATCATGTTTTATCGTCTGAAATAATTTATTTGATTATTGCTGCTTATAATTTGTTTACAATGTTATGTACAGGTATCCCTGCCGAGCTGTGGTTACAAAATCTGCCAGAACACCTGGAACAGTACACATCATGTACCAATACAAGCTAAACTAGACAAACTGTACAACGGAGAACAGCTGATGGTTCTAGATATCAGAACAGGTAGATATTTATGAACAATTAAAGTTTACTATAGGGATTACAGTCGAACTTTGTTACTGTACTAAAGGCATGGGAGGGGTTTTGTAGAATTTTTCTACTAATAAATTAAATTTTTGAACAACTTTTGGATTTTCATGTAAAACCAAAAGTACAGATATTTTTTTCGTTCAAAATGGACACCGAAAGGTTTTTGCTTTAGTGGAGGAAACATTTTTTTAGGAAATATCTTAATTATAATTTATCCCCACCCCCCTTCCTCATACATTAAATAATATAATTATAATGTATACAACCTAAAAGGTATATTACATAATATATTCCAGGGTTGTTATCTGTACTTAGAATATATATTGAGTGTGAGAAAAATATGTTTAACAATACCCCCAGTTAGTCATCCAAACATTTTAATTCTTCCTTTTATTTTACTTCTTTCTTTATCCGAATTTAAAGGGAGTGTTAACGATAGTTAAAGTGACTCTTTAACCAAAGAATGCCATGAACAACTGACAACAATACCTTTAACTTTTTGAGAAACAGTGTTGTAAAATCTCCGTAATGTTCGTGTCTGCCCACAACCTGTTTACTAGATTAGCCTCGACCACATTTAATTAAGATATCTCAAACATCGTTTCTCAGTTAAATCATTTAAACCGTTTATAACATTCTTAACACACACTGAGTTTCTTAATGTTTGAGAAAAATAGTTTTTCTTCATAAATTTTTTTTAACTCTAGCCCCCCCCCCTTCAAAATCATCTCCCCCCTTCCCTTCAACCTCCTATTTAACTGTTACAATTAAGGCGGAAGTAGCGTAAACTGTGCGTATTATGTATTACGCAGATTTATGTAGAACTAGATTTATGTTTTGTGTGATTTATCAAACACTCTTTCTCAGGGAATTATCAAATATTTGTAAACATTGTATTCACTAATCTAATATTCCCGTACATTCACAACATAGACATTGTATTCACTAATCTAATATTCCCGTACATTCACAACATAGACATTGTATTCACTAATCTAATATTCCCGTACATTCACAACATAGACATTGTATTCACTAATCTAATATTCCCGCACATTTACAACATAGACATTGTATTCACTAATTTTATATTCCCGTACATTTACAACGTAGACATTATATGCACTAATCTAATATTCCCGTACATTTACAACATATACGTTGTATTCACTAATTTAATATTCCCGTACATTCACAACATTAAAAAAAGAATTTTTTTCTTCAAAAGAATTGAGTCTTGGCTACCAACTCTTGAGTTTGTTATCACTATATCTTTGCAAACCTTTGCCTTAAACCTTTGATATTTCAAATTATGAATTATGATGGATCAATTAATTTAAGTTTGAAGTATGAAAGGTTTAAACCACCAGATTTCTAAGATTAGGGGGTTAAAAAATTTGAGTTTGCGGCAATGACTCATTTCCTTTTCCAAGTAAATTAAATTTTGCTTGATCCAGAGGTTAAACACAAAACTCAGTCCTCAAGTCTTTTCAGACTATTTATTAAAAGGGTGTTCAACCCCGGTGGTGGTCCTGATACAAACTATTGGCTAAGCAGCATTCACTAGTCTCTAGTTACTAATCACGAATCACTAGTCACAAGTCACTACTTACTAGTCAATAGTTTAAAGTCACTATTCACTACTCTATATATCCTCCAGGTGTTGAGTCTAGTGCACAGTGGAAGGATTATATTCTTCCTGTTCAAGAACTTTTAGTTCGTCCCGCTCCTGTTCAAGAGGTAGAACTATTTTAATCTTATCATGCTGTTTTTGTTTTTAATGCTTTCTTTCTGTGTTGTTTTCTTGTATGTTACATTTTTTATTTCATTTTGTCTGTATGGTCTCTGAATGCTATTTAGTGTATATTCCATGCTGTATGTATGTTGTTTGTATACCATTTTATCTGTATGCCATGCATTCCATGTTGTCTGTATGCATTGTTTTCTGTGTACCATGTTTTCTGTATACCATGTTTTCTGTATACCATGTTTTCTGTATACCATTTTTTCGGTATACCATGTTTTCTGTATGCCATGTTTTCTGTATGCCATGTTTTCTGTATGCCATGTTTTTTCTGTATACCATGTTTTCTGTATGCCAATGTTTTCTGTATGCTGTTGGCTTTATTTCATGATGTCTTTATGCTATTATGTCTGTATTCCATGTTGTCTGTATTCCATGTTGTCTGTAATTCATGTTGTCTGTAAGTCATGTTGTCTGTAAGTCATGTTGTCTGTTGTCTGTAAGTCATGTTGTCTGTAAGTCATGTTGTCTGTAAGTCATGTTGTCTGTAATTCATGATGTCTGTAAGTCATGTTGTCTGTAAGTCATGATGTCTGTATTCCATGTTGTCTGTATGCCATGTTGTCTTTAAGTCATGTTGTCTGTAATTCATGTTGACTGTATTCCATGTTGTCTGTAATTCATGTTGACTGTATTCCATGTTGTCTGTATGTTGTCTGTATTCCATGTTGTTTGTATTCCATGTTGTCTGTAATTCATGTTGACTGTATTCCATGTTGTCTGTAATTCATGTTGACTGTATTCCATGTTGTCTGTATTCCATGTTGTCTGTATTCCATGTTGTCTGTATTCCATGTTGTTTGTATTTCATGTTGTTTGTATTTCATGTTGTTTGTATTCCATGTTGTCTGTAAGTCATGTTGTCTATAAGTCATGTTGTCTGTAAGTCATGTTGTCTGTAAGTCATGTTGTCTGTAAACTATGTTGTCTGTATGCCTTGTTGTCTGTATTCCATGTTGTCTGTATGCCGTTGTCTGTAGTTGGCTGCATTTCATGTTTTCTACATGCATATATGTTGTCTACAGGTCATGTTGGTTTATGGTATACATTGATATGTTGTCTGTATGCATGTATGCTGTTTACAGGAACGTCATGTTGGTTTATTGTATACCATGGTATGTTGCCTGTTTACCGTTTTGGTATGTAATGTTTTTGTAGGCCATTTTATCTTCAATTAATTTTTGTACATGTAAATATAGATATAAATATAAAGTTGTCTGTGTGTCATGTTTTTTCTGTGTTATAGATTGTTTTATTCCATGTTCTGTGTATGTTATATTAATGTTTAGTTTAGATAATTTTTAGACAAATGTCAAACCAAAAAACTAACAAACAACGTAAAAAAACTAAACTTTTAGTACCTTTGAAACGCATAGAAAATAAAAAAAGTAACAGACCATTTAAAAAAACCTGTGAAAACCTACTTTACTTGTGCGTAGAGTTGTATTGTTTTGTTTTTTGTCATGTTGTCTTTGTTGTCTGTATGTAATGTTGTTTGTTTGCCATGATGTCTTTGTTGTGTTGTTTGTTTGCCATGTTGTCTCTATCACGCATGTTTTCTGTAAGTCATACATTCATATCTACATTTCATATGTCGTTCTTTTCTCATATGCTAAGGAATTGAGTTTTTGTCACAAACTCTGATTTTCTTATCCCTATATCTTTGCATTTCAATGTCGGAGACCTTAGATATTTCAAGCTATGAATCATTTTAGATCAAATAATGATAGTTTGAAATATCAAAGGTAAACATCATCAGGTTGAAAAGATATAGTGATTGTAAAATCATAATTTGTGGCAAAAACTCAGTTCCTTTGTGTATAATGTTAAGTTGTGTATTTATTTAAATTTCTAAAGGTAACAGTGTCTGATATGTATATTGCTCAGGTTTGTATCTCTGACCGGAATATCAAGACATTTGACTCCGTGTTCTATTCACATAGAGAGGAGGGAACCTTTACTCTGTATAGACATTCAACCCTAGAGCAGGAAGTTCAGGTTTATTACAGGTAATACTAAATACAACCTTCTTTCTTGGTATTTTAATAGTATTTTTTTCTATATTATAATTTTCTTCTTCCTAACCAACATGAACTAAAGCCACCCTTCTCTTTCCATCCTTCCTCTCCCTAACCTTCTCCTATCGTTTTCCTTTTTCAGTCCCTTCTATACCCACCTTCCTCTCCTTAACCTTTTCTTGTCGTTTTCCTCTTTCAGTCCCTTCTCTTTCCACCTTCCTCTCCTTAACCTTCTCCTGTCGTTTTCCTTTTTCAGTCCCTTCTATTTCCTCCTTCCTCTTCCTAACCTTCTCCTGTCGTTTTCCTTTTTCAGTCCCTTCTATTTCCATCTTCCTTTCCTTAACCTTCTCCTGCCGTTTTCCTCTTTCCGTCCCTTCTCTTTCCACCTTCCTCTCCTTAACCTTCTCCTGTCGTTTTCCTCTTTCAGTCCCTTCTATTTCCTCCTTCCTCTGCCTAACCTTCTCCTGCCGTTTTTCTCTTTCAGTCCCTACTATTTCCCAATTCCTTCTTCCCCCTCCGTCTTCCTTGTTCATTCCTTCCCTCCCTCCAACCCTCTTCCATCTCTTCCTTTTACTCTTCTCTCTTCTCAATTCCTATTTACCCTTCTTTAATCATTTTTTTTCTATTTCTATTTCCTTTATCTTTGCAACATGATGGTTTAAGCCTTCATTATTTCAAATTCAGATACTTAATTCTGACGGAATTCAAAGTTCGAAATACCTAAGGTCTACAACATTGGGTTACGGAGATATAGGGATTAAGAAATCAGAGTTTGTGACAAAGACTCGTTTCCTATCATAAGTTTTCCTAAACTCACATCTATATCTGTTTGATTTGTATATATATATATATATATATATATATATATATATATATATATTTATATATATATATATATACATTTTGTATATGACACATTATGCAATCCATCAGGGATATTTAATTGTATTCTGTGTGATATTTAATAAACATGAAACATGATAATTATTTAATCACAAGTACATTATTTTTGAATAATTATAAAAAATAAAACAATAAATTCATTTATCTAAAAATATTAATTATTAAGCTAACTGTAAATTAACCATATCAAGATTACCATGGTTACATGAACACAATAAAATACATTAAAAATCCAACCAATTGATTTAAATATTCACTAAACTCGATCCTCAGGTTTCGTGTTAGCTCGGAGTAAGACAGAAGTATGCTTCTAAACCTTTGACCATGTTCAGGGAACTGAGAAAAAATATCAGTCCTTCAACCCNCCCCCCCCCACATTAATACCATTCAACCCAATCAATATAAAAAAATGGAATATAAATTTGAAAAATGAGGTTTGGAAGTGCTAATTATTTTTTTGTTCTATTTGTCTTGGATTTTTGGTTGGATTTGTCTAAAGGTGTTTTGTATGCAGAGTGTAGAGTAGAGTTGAGTTTATCCAAAACTATCCTATTCTCAACCTTTATATCTTTACCAGCCGATTTGCAAACCCAGCAGGGACTTAGGGGGGTACTTAGGGGCTTAACGGGTTCGAGGGGATTAGGGACTAAGGGGGTTCAGATGTTTTCAGGGGCCTAGGAAGTTCAGGAATCCTAAAAATTTAAAGGCTTTTAGAGATTTTAGATGAACAAGTCAAAGTTTTTTGGATTTTTGGGTTCTCAGGGACCTTCGGTAATTAGAGCAAGCTCCTGAGGTTCCCTGGGGCACAAGGGATACCCAGGGTAATATGGATTCCATATACGGATATTGATGGGCAGGTCAAGGTATTCATTGGTATACGAGAAACTGAGGGAGGATCCAATATATGTTTTTTAATATTTACAAACTTGTCTTTTCTAATATAGATTTACAGATCTTTTATGTACACTAAACTGTACATTTACATGAACAATTCAGTAATTTTAAATTTCAAATTAAACTTGCTTTGTACATGACGTACAGCGTGTACATAACTTGCAATATTTGCAGGAGGTGTAACCTACGTAAGCTGTGCCACTGTGCTGTGAGTATACGAAATGAAGATATCATTGTTACCCTTGATATTTGCACCCGGGGATATCTGCAGGTACACGTAATCAGTTAATTAGTCAATCAATCAATCAATTAGAAACTATATCAATAAATCAATTAGAAACTTTATCAATAAATCAATTAGAAACTTTATCAATAAATCAATTAGAAACTTTATTAATAAATCAATTAGAAAAAGGAAATCCATGAAGATATAAACAATGTTGGGCTAATGAAGGTTAAATCAAAGATGAAGGGACGAAAGGATGAAGGATGAAAGCATTAAAGGATAAAAAGATGAAGGGATGAAGGATGAAAGAACTAAAGAATGAAAGAATGAAAGTTTTCATTAATGAAATGATGAAAGGATGAAAGATTGAAAGGATGAAAGGATTAAAGATTGAAAGGGTGAAAGGATGAAAGGATAAAATGATGAAGGAATGACAGGATGAAAGAACTGAATAATAAAAAGATGAAAGGATTAATAGATGAAAGGATGAAAGGTTGAAAGGATGAAAAGATGAAAGAAGAAATGAATGAAAGGATGAGAGAATAAGAAGGGACAAGATAAACAATAAACTAGAAGGATGAATTAATATGATATTATCTCTAGGTGTGGGGTTTAACTAGGAGCGGAGAAATTCTTCCTGAGGATGAGATTCCTCAGTATTTTGATATACTCAGTATCAATGATGGAAGATCTTATGAGGTAACATAGATTTTTAGCTAATCAATTTATACTTTTTTCTTTCTGATCAATAAAGACAAAGATATTTTGTTATCGGATTAATATAAACCTAAATATCTAGTTATCTGATCAATATTGACCTATATATTAAGCTTTGTGATCAACTATAGACCTAAATATTGAGTATTCTGATGAATATTGACCTAGATATTAAGCTTTGTGATCAACTATAGACCTAAATATTGAGTATTCTGATGAATATTGACCTAGATATTAAGCTTTGTGATCAATATTGATCTAGATATTAAGTTTTTGATCAATATAGACCTAAATATTAAGTTTTCTGATCAATTATAGACATAAATATTAAAGTTTTTGATCAATATAGACCTTAATATATTGTTACCTGATCAATTATAGACATAAATTTTAAAGTTTTTGATCAATATAGACCTTAATATATTGTTACCAGACTTGTACTCTATGCAATACACAACATTTAACTTTAATATCTAAACTATATTTTATGAAAAAATATCCTATGTAATCAATTAATATACAAATACTTGCATGTATAAGTTTTTCTTAGTTTATTTATATTCTTAAGTACCACCGCAACAATGAGTTTTGATTTAATTTGATTATATTATCTATGTAATCTGAAGTGAAACTAGTTGTTAAACCCTGTTATTGGATCAAATTATTCAGAACCAATTAGATCATGTGTAAATGTTGCTCAAAACATATCCTAAAACTTATTATTCAATCAAAAAAGAGATTTACATTCTCAAATTGTATGTTTTCAGTATTCAATGGTGTCCATTACATGCACCCTGTTCTGAAATCTTGTTTTTATCAATCCATTCTTTTTCAGGTTGTTTTTCCGAGCGGAACCTATGTTGCTCTGGGTCCTTATCTGAGCTATATCAAGGTGTTTGCGTCTCCATCAGATCTAGGATATACAGAGGGGTTGTGTGGTACTCTAGACAGAGACCGGAGCAATGAGTTCTTAAACCTTGAAGGAGAGCAGTCCTGTACTCTCAACCTTGATGAGGACGAATGTGAAGATTTCTCAAAAAGTTGGATGTAAGTTTTTTCCTCTTTAAATCTTCTATTTGAAAAAAAATCTTATTTATAGCAAATTATGAAAGAGATCCCTTTCTCTGATTTCATTATTCATATATTCAGAGAAAATATTCATGGTGAAGAAAGAAATGTAGTTTAACCACAGGGTGTCCCAATAAACATGACAATTAAGTGACGACTTTTATATCGCCTTCAATCCATGCAGCATTTTTTCATGACCACAATTATTGCAGTATTCCAATTAAAACATGTTATATCAAAAGCGCCTGGTCTTGAGATTTTCGAAATGTGGTCTACCATTTTTGTATTTTCAAAATTTAAATTGAGTTTTTGCCACAAACTCAATTTTTAGTATCCCGACAACTTTACAACCTAATTGTGTAAACTTTGATATTTCAAACTTAGATTATTTGATCTATCATAACTAATAGATTGAAATATCTACATAGGTCTACGACATTTAGTTGCAGAGATTATAGATCTATAAAACGTTTTATATGTCTCAAATGAATCCTAGAAAATTTCTCTACAATACTGCAATCTCAGTTTAACCACCATACATTGCCGGTCACTCCCTTTAATACCAATTATCTTCGTCAACTTTTAAGACACAAGAAAGGTAGACCACTTCATGAAAAGCTCTTAAAACGCACAGCCTTGTTGCTATACACTCTTTGCCGTATATTAACTTTCAGAAATAAAAGACGATTTTCTCTCAATTTCCATGTTTATTGGGACACCCTGTATTAATAAGTTAAATATGTTTGTATGAGGGAGGTAACCAATTAGTTAATATTTTCTGCCTGTAAATCTATAAATTGAATATAAGTGTGTAAAGTATAGAATATAGGCCTATAAAGCATAAACCTGCTGCTCAAACAGAAGGTTATAAATATAATTATATATTGCAGCAGCTACTGCACAAACTATTTTAGAATATTATTCGGTTTAAACCTGTTTTCTGCATTAAAATCAAATTCATGGTCTATACTAATTAAAACAAATCATTTTATAGCTAGGTTTCCTGGTTTTCCGGTTTCTTAGTTTCCAGTTTCCTACTTTTCTTTTTGTTTGTTAATTTTATTAGTTTATTTGTTTCCTAGTTTTAGTTTTATAGTTTCTTAGTTTCTCAGTATACTCGTTTTTGAGTTCCCTATTTCTTCTTTCTTTAGTTTCCCTGATTTCTAGTTTCTAGTTTCGTATGCTTATAGTTTCTTAGTTTCCTAGTTCTCTGGTTTTAGTTTCTTAGTTTCCTAGTTTCTTAGTTTCCCAGTTTCTTAGTTTCATAGTTTCTTAGTTTCCTAGTTTCTTAGTTTCTTACTTTCTTAGTTTCCTAGTTTCTTAGTTTTCTAGTTTCTTAGCTTCCTAGTTTCTTAGTTTCCTAGTTTCTTAGTTTTCTAGTTTCTTAAATTCACAGTTTCCGAGTTTCCTATTTTCTATTTCTGTAGTTTTTTAGTTTCCTAGTTTTTTTTAGTTTCCTAGTTTCTTAGTTTCCTAGTCTCTAAGTTTCCTAGTTTATTAGTTACTTAGTTTTCTAGTTTCTTAGTTTTCTAGTTTTCTAGTTTCTTAGTTTCCTAGTTTACTTGTTAGTTTACTAGTTTCTTAGTTTCTTAGTTTCCTAGTTTACTAGTTTCTTAGTTTCTTAGTTTCCTAGTTTCTTAGTTTCCTAGTTTCTTAGTTTCCTAGTTTCCTAGTTTACTTGTTAGTTTACTAGTTTCTTAGTTTCTTAGTTTCCTAGTTTCCTCGTTTACGTGTTAGTTTACTAGTTTCTTAGTTTCTTTGTTTTCTAGTTTCCTAGTTTCTTAGTCTCTTAGTTTCCTAGTTTCCTAGTTTCCTAGTTTCCTAGTTTCCTAGTTTTTAGTTTTTTAGTTTTTTAAGTTTCCTTGTTTCCTAGTTTCCTAGTTTTCTAGTTTCCCAGTTTCTTAGTTTCTTAGTTTCTTAGTCTCCTAGTATCCTAGTTTCCTAGTTTTCTAGTTTCCTAGTTACCTAGTTTTCTAGTTTTCTAAATTCTTGTATTCTAGTTTTCTTGTTCCGTATATTTTTGATTTGCTAGCTTCTTAGTTTTCTAATTTTCTAATATCTACAGAAGTGCATCTAATTTTAACCCTTTTCATTATTTGCACAAGGAAAAAGATTTTATTGAAAAACCTCGTTAATTCGTTTACCTTAAATTATGCAATACAGAAGCTAGTGCTGATTAGTCTCGTTTCATGCTTAGCTCTGCCCCACCCTCTCCTAGTTTTCATGGTTACAATTTACACACCCCCACACATCATTAGTCTCACTCCTCCATATCATTAGACAATCCCCCCCCTCTCATCCCCTCCTCCCTCCCCCCTTTTCTCTCGATATCAATTTCTCTTTTTATTCTAATTAATTGTCCAGTTTGAAGGGGTTTGTACACTGAACACTGTCTGAACTCAATAGATAAGTTTACTACAGAACTTTTATTTATTTTAGCGGATTAGTCTGCTGACAACAGGCTGATCTGTTGACATCGGACGGTTATGCTGACAGAGACTTTTCTGTTGACAGCAGACTATTCTGTTGAAGGCAGACTGTTCTGTTGACCGCAGATTGTTCTGTTGAAGGCAGACTGTTCTGTTGACCGCAGATTGTTCTGTTGACAGCAAACTGTGCTGCTGACAGCAGACTATTCTGTTGACAGCTGACTGTGCTGCTGACAGCAGACTATTCTGTTGACAGCTGACTGTTCTGCTGACAGCAGACTTGTCTGTTGACAGCAGACTTGTCTGCTAACAGCAGACTCAGACTGTGATATTAAAAGCAGACTGTGCTATTAAAAGTAGACTGTTCTGTTGACAGCAGACTGTGTTGTTGAAAGCAGACTATTCTAATAATGAATGAATGGATTCCTGGTTAATTAATGAATAAATGTATACTGGGTTAATTAATGAATAAATGTATACTGGGTTAATTAATGAATAAATGTATACTGGGTTAATTGATAAATAAATGGATGCTAGGCTGAATGTTGGATGAATGGATACCTGAATAATTAATGAATGAATGAATGCCTGGTTAATTGAATGAATAGATAACTGGACAGTTGAAGGATGAATGAATAGATAGATAAATAATTGAAGAATACCTGGTTAATAGATGAATGAATGAATGCCTAGTTAATTGATGAATGAATACTGATTGACTGAATCCGATTACAACAATTACAAAACATGAATTAATGCAATTTAAAATCAAATTGCAATCAGATTTTTTCCGCCCGAACCTAGTTTTTGCAATAGTGTGCAAATTGATGGAATAGTTTGGAGAGAATTGTGAAGTTATCTTCATTTTTATTCAAGACAGAAATTCATGGTGATCCACTTAATTTTTAAAGCTTTTTTTAAAACAGCGGCCTTGAGTTATTTTACTTAGTGAAAAATTCCAAAAATAAGACACAACACTGCCCATGAAACCCGATAAACAACTAGCTCAAGTGCCCGGCATTGCCCGTGGAATCTTAGAAACATTAAAAAAATGTCAAATTTAAAAAAAAAATGTCGATTTTTTTAGCCTATGTTACCCCCAGAATACCGGTACCCATGGGTTTCCTCAAACAAGTTCAGCCCATTCGGTCCAGCCGCAGCCGTTTGGCCAGCTATAGCTATCATAGACATACACATATAAATATATATATATATGATCGAAGAGCTTTATTATATAGATTGAGTAGAACAATAGATTGGAATAAAACAAATCTTGGTAGTTTCCCTCCTCGTCTTTTCTCTTAAAATGTTCCTCCTCGATTATTAAATATCTTTATTTATATACATGATAAAAACGGTATATAAGAACTATGCTGCCTATCCGTTTTCAAGTTTAATTCCTCATGCTAAATATAGGAATTAAGTCGTCATAACCCATTTAAATTTGTATAATTTTAGCATAATCATGAGCCCCTAAATGGTCTTTGTCCAGAATTGACCCATTACAATGTTAATTGCTCTGTTTTGTTGGTTTCTGGATGATTTATAGCTGGTGGAGATTACAAGGTCCTATTCAGGGTCAGAAAACGACAAAACTATATATTTCCATCAAGTTTTATATAATCTGAATAAAAATGCAAAAAAAATGTTTTGGTTCGCTGATTTGATTTGATTTATTTACAGAAACCTTTTTTATATAAATATCTAAATACGTACTTGAAGTGAATTAAAGGATTTTCGAAAATTCCCTAGAAACATTCACGTGTACATAGCTTAATAGGAAAATTTAGGAACCTTTGCATCTTTCATTGTTTCTTTTTTCGTGCAAACATATTTTAATTTTAGTTTTCTAAAATTAGTATTTAGTTTAAACTTTTCCAGTTTTCACAAACCTTATTGTTCTTAAACAGAATCAAAAAATTTTGTAATTTATTATAAAGTCTTTAGATATGGACATCAAAACATAGCCGGTTAAAACGTTGAACCTAAATAAATCCATTTTTCAAACTCTATTTTGTTGAAAAATAGGTTTCTCTCAAGATTAATGTAGTGGACTAGTTTAAACATGTTTTCAAGTGGTTTCTCTCAAGATTAATGTAGTGGACTAGTTTAAACATGTTTTCAAGTGGTTTCATTTTCAGGGTGGAACCAAGTCAAACCTTGTTTTCCGGCTTCTTCAGAGACCTGGAGATAAACCAAACCGAATCCAATATCTCCAGTACAAGAACCGAGTATCAGTGTGCATGCAGGCTAACTCAGGTATGATAAGGATACTAAAATACGTTTCTATTTTATGATATTTTTTGTGTTCATAAGAATAAAATCATATTTTGAACAACAATAAACAAAACTATATTAAAATACAACCTTAATATTTTAAGGAAAATGAAGAAAAGGTTTCGAAACTGAACGAGATTCCTACAAGTCAGTTTCAGACTTCTAGAGATCTAGATCTCCAGGTATAGTTTTCAGTACACTAGTATTCATGTATAGTTTCAGTACACTAGTATTCATGGATAGTTTTCAGTACACTAGTATCCATGTATTGTTTTCAGTACAAAAGTATCCATGGATATTTTTCAGTACAGTAGTATCTATGTATAGTTTTGTACACTAGTATCCATGTAAGTTTTCAGTACATTAGTATCCATGTATAGTTTCAGTACACTAGTATCCATGTATAGCTTCAGTGCACTAGTATCTATGCATAGTTTTCAGTACACTAGTATCCATGTATAGTTTCAGTGCACTAGTATCCATGTATTGTTTCAGTACACTAGTATTCATGTATAGTTTTAGTACACTAGTATCCGTGTATAGTTTCAGTACACTAGTATCCATGGATAGTTTTCAGTACACTAGTATCTATGGATAGTTTTCAGTACACTAGTATCCATGGATAGTTTTCAGTACACTAGTATCCATGAATAGTTTTTAGAACACTAGTATCCAAGTATAGTTTCAGTACACTAGTATCCATGTATAGTTTTTAGAACACTAGTATCCAAGTATAGTTTTAGTACACTAGTATCCATGTATAGTTTTTTGAAAACTAGTATCCAAGTATAGTTTTAGTACAACATTATACTTGCACAGTTTATAGTATACTAGTATCCAAGTATAGATATCAACAAAAAATATCAAGGTATAGTTTTAAATGCATAAGTTCTCAGATTCCAGGTAAAGTTTTCAGTACATGACTATTAAGTTTAGTTTTAAGAAGTATCCAGGTAAAGTTTTCACTACATGACTATTAAGTTTAGTTTTAAGAAGTATCCAAGTATAGTTTTCAACAGTTTTTACTACAGTTTCAGCACTAAGCAATACTCTGGTACAGAGCCAGTTTTTGGTTTACAATATTCGGATACAGAATTTTTAATTATTATTTTTCTTTTAGGGAGAGCTCACTTGTAGCTCTGAAAGATGTTTTGACCAGAGATCTTTCTCCGTCCTGGCCGGAATCCTGAAAACTGCTGCTAACGAAGACCTAACCCGTCCCGAGATCCGCGTTCTAGAACAAGAATCTGCTGAGAGCCAAGTAGCTACAGTTACTTTCCTGGGTGGTCCTGTAGTTCCCCGCCCACAGGATGGTTGGACCGCTGCTACAGCAGAAACCTTCTGTGCGGATTATATCCGGGCTAGCTCTGCAGTAGGACGGTGTAGTGGAGTACCTGGAGTAGATGTAGTTACAGCGGAGATAAATTGCCAGAAAGATGTTTTGGTAAGTTTTTACTGAACATAAATAATGTTTTACTTGGCATCAAGAAAATATTCTGATTGTCTTTGGTCAATTTTGAAAAAAAAGAGAATACATTTTGTAAATCCCAGTTTCTACTCTTTGATTTATAAGGTACCTCACACAACAGGTGGTAAATAGAAAAAATGAAGACGACTTCAAATCATCGTCGCTATATTCCAATATTAATGAAGACGACTTCAAATCATCGTCGCTATATTCCAATATTTTCAAGGTCTCCCTGCACTGTATATTTCCAACGTTAATGTTTGCCAATTCTCTGATTATGTGCGAATCCTAGATACTCCTATACCGTCCCTGGACCGTGATGATTAATTGAATCAAATAAAAATTAATAGATGCAACATAATTACTAATTACTAATTACGAACTGTTCCCTTCCTTCTCCCTTGATAAATCGGATAAAACTCAATAAATCTGTAGAACTATATCTAGATGATTAAATAAATTATCCCCAGGCTTTTAAACAATTATTTACACACACTCTGTCATGAAAGTGAGTTACTTGTAAGTTACGTATAAGTTAAAAGAAATCCTTAAAATTGAGAATATGTGATGAAGGGTTTTCTTGAAACGTAACTAGTGGATTTCTATAGAATTCGGAGGTAACCAGACTCCTCGGCTGAGTTGAGTTTAAAGATTCATTTTGTGTTTGCATTTTTAAGTTATTTTAAAGATAAGGTTTTTATTACATTTTCCCATAAAAAACTTTATTGTTTGTTTTTAATTGGAACGGTAAACTCTCATTATATTTCTGCAATTTGTTTTTTTATTTCTTAATAATAATAAAAAGGTTGATTAACGTTAACAATGCAAATTTTTACCCCCTATTATATTTATACAGTATTTTACAATCTATTAAATAGTTTTACAGTTACTCTGTACATTTTAACGGTGTACGGTCAGAAGTTATGTAAGGTTTAAGTGTACAATTCATAATGTACAGTTTTCAGTGTACAGCTTGTAGTTTACAGTTTGAAGTGTATCCTGTACACTGTACAGCTTTCAGTGTACAGTTAACATTGTACAGTCTGAAATTTTAAATGTACACCGCACAATTTGCAAAGCACAGCTTACACTGTATCACCATTGTACATTGTACAGTTAGTAGTGCACGGTTTAAAAAAGTTTAGTTCAGTAAGAGAAGAATAAGGGATGCAATAACGGATTCTACAGTTAACAATATAATTCCCACCTTATAATCATCTACCAGAGCTAACAATGGAACTAATATTGTTTAAATACTTAGCATTTCCTCCCCCTTCACACAATACTCATTACTTAAATACTTCACCACCCTTCAACCCTCTTCTTATATAATACCACCATTATATATCTTCCTTTCAAACCCTCCTCTAACTCTTCCTATCTTATACCATCAGTATATACTTCTCTGAACCTAATATCTTCCTTCCAACCCATCACTAACTCCTATTATCTAATACCATCAGTATATTCATCTCTAAACCTAATATCTTCCTTCCAACCCATCTCTAACTCCTATTATCTAATACATCACTTTATTCATCTCTAAACCTAATATCTTCCTTCTAACCCATCTCTAACTCTTCTTATCTAATGCCATCATTATATACTTCTCTAAACCTAATATTTTCTTTCCAACCCATCTCTAACTCTTCTTATCTAATACCATCACTATATTCATCTCTAAACCTAATATCTTCCTTCCAACCCATCTCTAACTCTTCTTATCTAATACCATCAGTATATTCATCTCTAAACCTAATATTTTCCTTCCAACCCATCTCTAACTCTTCTTATCTAATACCATCACTATATTCATCTCTAAACCTAATATCTTCCTTCCAACCCATCTCTAACTCTTCTTATCTAATACCATCATTATATACTTCTCTAAACCTAATATTTTCCTTCCAACCCATGTCTAACTCTTATTATCTAATACCATCAGTATATTCATCTCTAAACCTAATATTTTCCTTCCAACCCATCTCTAACTCTTATTATCTAATATCATCATTATATACTTCTCTAAACCTAATATTTTCCTTCCAACCCATTTCTAACTCTTCTTATCTTATACCATCAGTATATTCATCTCTGAACCTAATATCTTCCTTCCAACCCATCTCTAACTCTTCTTATCTTATACCATCAGTATATTCATCTCTGAACCTAATATCTTCCTTCTAACTCTTCTTATCTTATACCATCAGTATATTCATCTCTGAACCTAATATCTTCCTTCCAACCCATCTCTAACTCCTATTATCTAATACCATCATTATATACTTCTCTAAACCTAATATCTTCCTTCCAACCCATCTTTAACTCTTATCATCTAAGACCATCATTAATCATTATTTTCTTCTCTAAACCTAATATCTTCCTTCCAACCCATCTTTAACTCTTATTATCTAATACCATCAGTATATTCATCTCTAAACCTAATATTTTCCTTTCAAACCCTCCTCTAACTCTTCTTATCTAATACCATCATTATTTTCTTCTCTAAACCTAATATCTTCCTTCCAACCCATCTTTTACTCTTATTATCTGATACCATCAGTATATTCATCTCTAAACCTAATATTTTCCTTTTAAACCCTCCTCTAAATCTTCTTATCTAATACCATCATTATTTTCTTCTCTAAACCTAATATCTTCCTTCCAACCCATCTTTTACTCTAATTATCTAATATCATCATTATATTCATCTCTAAACCTAATATCTTCCTTCCAACTCATCTCTAACTCTTCTTATCTAATACCATCATTATATACATCTCTGAACCTAATATCTTCCTTCCAACCCATCTCTAACTCCTATTATCTAATACCATCATTATATACTTCTCTAAACCTAATATCTTCCCTCCAACCCTCCTCTAACTCTTCTTATCTAATACCATCATTATATACTTCTCTAAACCTAATATCTTCCTTTCAAACCCTCCTGTAACTCTTATTATCTTATACCATCATTATATTCATCTCTAAACCTAATATCTTCCTTCTAACCCTCCTCTAACTCTTCCAATCTTATACCATCACTATATTCATCTCTAAACCTAATACCTTCCTTCCAACCCTCCTCTAACTCTTCTAATCTTATACCATCAGTATATATACTTCTCTGAACCTAATATCTTCCTTCCAACCCATCTCTAAATCTTATTATCTAATACCATCTGTATACTTCTCTAAACCTAATATCTTCTTTCCAACCCTCCTGTAACTCTTATTATCTAAAACCCTCCTCTAACCTAAACTTCTCCATCTTAATCTTTACTTTTCCCAACCTCCCTTTACTACGCCCTGCTTACTTCTCCTTTAAAAATTCCCTTTAACCATGCAAACTACCCCCCCCNCCCCCTAATTTCTGATGAAATCTATTCCGACACTGAACCCTGTTCTCTCATTACAAGAATGCAGGAAAGTATGTCTCGGTATTTCTTCTAATTATATTCTAGGTCTAATTATTCCCTTGTCTCGGGATCTATTTATCGTTCTATCTTGGTTTTCATCTCTACACTTTAATTAGACTCAGATCTTAGAGATCTTAATTATAAATTCCATAATTCTTAATTATCCCCCGAAAAATATTTTATTTAGATGTTTTCACCGGGAGAAATTTCATTTTTTTATCCCCATTTAAAACATGGAAACCCTGGAACAAAAAGGGATGATTTGGGATTTCAAACGTTTTTTATGTTAATTGTACAAGTCTAATATTTATAAACATTGCAGTACACTGGAGACTCTAGATATGCTCTGCTCCACCTGGACAGGATCAAGGAGGACTGCAGGGACTCCGTCACCAGGAACACCTCGTTGTGGGAGGTTGGGAACTCCAGACACCCCGCCCCTCCTCCTGATATAGTTGACACACTTTGTATCAACGACTGTAGTAATCACGGGCAGTGTAGTTCAGGTTGGTAAACTTTTATTGTGGGCAAGAGGGTAAAAGGTGGAGTTGATAGGGATGGGAACATGGTGAGATAGAGTATGTATTGGCCCATGGAAGAAAGAGTACGGGTTGGCTCATGAAGGTAAAGAGTAGGGGTTGACCGAGTTGACCAAGGGGGTAATGAGTGGGGGTTGACCAAGGGGGTTAAAAAGTAGGGGTGGATCCATGGATGGAAAGAGTAGGGGTGGATCCTTTGAGGGAAAAAGCGGGGGGTTTGTCCATGGATGGAAAAAGCAGGGGGTTAGTCCATGGATGGAAAGAGTAGTGGTATATTGACGAAAAGAGTAGGGGTTGCAAAAGGTTAGCAATGTGAATATATCGGTTTTTAAATCATTTTATCAAAATCTTTATGTTTTGTTTGTTCCAGGTGTATGTCTTTGTGCTGAGGGTTGGACAGGCGCAGATTGTACAATAGATCTCCGCACTGGACCCAGAGTAGGAGCTCTAGGAAACAACGGACTCTGTGATGTTAGAACCCGTCCCTGCAGGAACCTCATTATACTCGGAGATAACTTTGCAAACCGACCTGATCTATCCTGTACATTCGAGGTTTTCAAGGTAAATATCATCTTAGTCTTTATTCTACTTGATTAACACCCTGTAGATAATATTTTTAAATCAATTTTCCTGTTAAATGAACTAAGTGGATCATAGCTCCTTGATCTCTGGATAAGAATCATATTAATGGAATACAACCATATATATATAAATGAGAATCATTTACTGAGAAGAAAAATCTGTAGATGAAAATTATTTATGGATAGAAAGCTCCATGCTTAAAAATTATCTATGAAAAAGAGGGTTCTATGTTAAAGAAGGATCTATGAATGAAAATGACCAATGGATGAAAAGTATCTATGAATGAGAAGGAAATTTGAATGATAAGTTCCATGAATGTGAGATATGGAGGAAAAAATCTAGGAGTGATAGAAATCTGGATGATAAGCTCAAAGAATAACTTTGATCTATAAAATCAGGACATATCTATAAATTGTTTTGTGCACTAAATAAATTGTTAAAATCGTTGAATTGAAACATGATTAATTTAAAAAACGGTGAATATTAATATAAATTTCTATGTAACCATTTATTATTTTGTGCAAAGTATTGATTATTTTCAAATTACGGTACAAAAACAATATTTCCAGTCATGTTCTATATTATTATACATGTAAACTTACCGCACTTCGAGTACAATTATATTAATGATGTTATTAACAATATTTCGGACGTACACTCCACCTACGTTACCTTCANGGAACATACCATTGTAGATTTCCACATATTCATGGAACATACCATTGTAGATTTCCACATATTCATGGAACATACCATTGTAGATTTCCACATATTCATGGAACATACCATTGTAGATTTCCACATATTCATGGAACATACCATTGTAGATTTCCACATATTCATGGGAAAATACCATGTATAGATTTCTATTTTCCCAAACTCCAAAGTCCAAAGTACAAAAAATAATGTAAGTCATTTATTGTTGTGGACGTTTTAAGAATTTTGTTTACATTTTATTTGATTTACACAACATGGTTTGGAACTCATTCAATTGAAAGTAATTTTTTCTTCAGAAATTTCGTTTTTCTAGAGGGGTTTATAGGACATAGCGCTTAACCGAATTCTGTTGGTATCTTCTTGGGTTTAAAACTAGGAACATGTTGGGACCCTAGACTACTCATACACTACCAGACTACTCATACACTACCAGACTACTCATACACTACCAGACTACCATACTACTCAGTACTAATATACTACCAGACTACCAAATTAATCATACTACTCATACACTACCAGACTACTTTGCTACTCAGTACTCATACACTACCAGACTAAACATCTACCAGACTACTATACTACTCAATACTAATATACTACCAGACTACCAAATTAGTTATACTACTCATACACTACCAGAATATCTAATACTAACAGGCTATTCATACTATTAGACTATTTTGAATAATTTGTGATATTTTGGTATGTAAAATGATTTTTGACGTGACATTGATATTGGGCCCTATCACCCTATCAATCTAATTTACAAATTGGAAACCCCTATCGAAACCTTATTTTAAACCTTGTTAAGTCTATCAAATTGGTTGTATTTGAGAAACTGAAGAAACTAAACTAACTCCTGACAATGATCACGAATTGTAAAACTAAACACAATACAAATTACTGGTAGATTACTGGACTAGTAAGAAAGCATGAAAGGCCGGGAACACAGAATGAATAAAGGAAAATCCCCCCCACCCCACCCACATGAACTTTATATATGTAACATACCAGTATACGTAGTCATGGTAAAGTATTCTCTAGTTTGAACCCAGAGTAGATCTGGCTCGTCTACCAAGCTTTCCTAAACCTGGAGTATATCTGGTTCATATACCACTCTCTTTTATACCTGATGTAGATCTAGTTCGTCTACTACTTTATTTTGAACTTTGATCAGATCTTTTCCTTTATTACTTTACCCTAAACCCGGAGTTGGTATGGTACCTGTTTGGCAGAACTCTATCCTAATCCCTGGAGTAAAGTTGTTAATTTGGTTCTTTTGAACTAGATTTGTGGATTTGGTTCTTTTGGCACTCTATTCTAAATCTGGAGTAGATGTGGTACATTTAGTAATCCATCCTGAACCTGAAATAGATTTGTGGATTTGGTTCCTTAAGTACTCTATTCTAAATCTGGAGTAGATGGGGTTCCTTTTGCACTTTATCCTAAATCTGGAGTAGATGTGGTACATTTAGGACCCCATCCCGAACCTAGAGTAGATGTGGTACCTTAAGAAACCATCCTAAACCTGGAGTAGGTGTGGTGCCTTTAGCAACCAATCCTGAACCTAGAGTAGATTTTGTTTCTATAGAACTCTATCCTAAACCTGGAGTACATTTGCTCTGTCTTAAACTACAAGTAGATATAGGTGGGCTTCTCTATTTAATCCAAACCCTGAAGAAGCTCGATGGTTTGTCTATAACCTGGATTGGATATGACTGTTCTACTACTTCATCCTAAACCTGAAATATAATTATGAGCTGTGACTGATGTGGGACAAGGGGCAGGAATATTGTCCCAGCGTGAGATAGTTTTGATGAAACTAATTATTGTCAACATTCTCTTTGTTCACGAGTGTCACAGCTTGTTCTATGAACCTTGGAACAAATGACAATGGGGACTGTGAAGAGGGGGGGGCCTGATAGGCATTTACGGTTGGGGGTAGATAAAAGTTAGCAATGTGGCGAAAAGAGATGGAATGCAGAGTAAAATGAATTGAGGCTATCAATTCAGACGAGTACATTAATATTTAAAGTGAGAAAAATTTTAGACTTGTAATTTAGATATTTTGATGCAATCATTTTCTTTTTTTTAGATACGTGGTGTTGCGAGTAAACAGCTGGTTCAGGATCTTGTCATTACTTCTCCTGCAACCTTTTCCTCCTTTCAGGTAGGTTTATTTCCTCCTTTCAGGTAGGTTTATTTTCCTCCTTTCACGTAGGTTTATTTTCCTCCTTTCAGGTAGGTTTATTTCCTCCTTTTAGGTAGGTTTATTTTCCTCCTTTCAGGCAGGTTTATTTTCCTCCTTTTTTCTGCAAATTACTTTCTATTTTCTTTTTTATTGTATTTTTAACCTTCTCTGGTTTAGGAGATTACGTGTACCCTTCCTACCCTGGATATTCATTCCAACAAAGAGAGACATAGATTCGATCTGCGGGATAACACGGATCAAACCAGGTGACTAATCATCCATATTGACCCATTAATTGAAAACTAGTCGGACAGATTGGACAAATTCTCAATGTACTACAGGGTGTCCCAATAAACATGGGGATTCAGTGACGAATTCGATATCGTCTTTTTTGATAATTCTTTGATTTTGTATAGTGATACCTACTGAGAAAGCTGAAATCTGTAAGAGTTTCGTCTGCTATGTTCACATTTTGTTTGTTTAATTTTTGACTGCATACGGTTGTACTTAGTAAAACAAGAAAATTACAGTATACAAACAGAGTAAACTTGTCCGTCTTCACTGTTCATCTTGCAGAGACATTATAGACACATCTTTACAGCCATTTACCGTTTTCATAAAATAAACTCTTGCAGCCGTAATAATATTATGGCTTTTGAAATCAGGTATTACAATGCTAATTCGTAACAAAGACGATATCGAATTCGTCACTTAATTCCCATGTTTTTTGGGACACCCTGTACTAAAAAGAAAACTTCAGCATATTAACGAAATGAATACAGATTATAAAAATGAAAATGTTAAAGTTCTATTTCTGGGTTATCTCAACGTTTTTAAGCTTTTCTTTTAAGATATGGCGATTCTCCTTAAAATACTTCAGGGATAAACAATCCTAATCTGAAAAAAACGCCTCTTTTTATTAGCACGCGTTAAAAGTTTTTGAGTTCAAAAATGAAAATGAAAAAGAAATAAAATTACGTTTTCTTTGAAAATCTTTGTTAAAAGAATGAGCACTTTCCTCCAATTCCTTTTCTAATCCCTACATCTTTTCAACATGATGTTTAAAACATTGACTATTTGATCTAGCAGAATTTATAGTTTGAAATATTAAAAGGTTTACGACATTGGATTGCACAAATAAAAAAAAGTGTTCAAGTTCCTTCTTTTATATCTTAAAATGATTCACCTCATTAAAAGTTGCAAAATTTCTCTCTAGAACGTTAACGCTAAGTTTTACTGAGGTTGTGATGATTATCGGTGCATAAAATCCTGCAGTAGATGAATAAGATTAAATTCGTTTCATCAATAAAATTTCAATTCGTTACCATGGTGCTGATATAATTGACATTTAATACGCGTAGGAGGAAAAAATGTGACCAATAAAGTTGATCTAATTGATCCAATTGTTTAGGATGTTTGTCAAGGTCCTGGTCCACTATGGATCGGGTCCCAGGTCCCATCCCTTGGACCTCCTTCTCTACGATACACAGTGCTGGCATTGTTCCATTACTGGAGAATGCAACGCTAAGGAAAACAACATCGTTAAATAATTCTCTAATTTTAAACATTTTTAAACAAACAGCGTTTATTTTATGATTTATAATTTACTCTCGGAAAAATTTAAACAACTTGAATTGAAAAATAAACTTCCAAGGATTCAATGATAAACCCTTGGGCCACGCCATTGGTTCTAATTTTTGTAAAGAGTATGTTTTAACATGGACCTGCTTGAAGAAGCTTTTAGATTAGGGGGTATCCGTGAAAATTGTTGCATTAAAAAAGAAAAAGCTTAAGAAAAGAATGAAAATTATCTGTGAAAAACGATTTTAGAAAAAAACGATTTTCATTTTTTTCCAGAGCAACAACAAGTGTGTATTTAGCGCAGCAACAACAGGAATTCAAACCTTCAGGATCGGGAAATCCATCAGCAATGAAAAAGGTAAAACTGAAATCCAACGGAAATCCATCAGCAATGAAAAAGGTAAAACTGAAATCCAACGGAAATCCATCAGCAATGAAAAAGATAAACCTGAAATCCAACGGAAATCCATGAGCAATGAAAAAGGTAACTGAAATCCAACGGAAATCCATCAGCAATGAAAAAGGTAAAACTGAAATCCAACGGAAATCCATCAACAATGAAAAAGATAAACCTGAAATCCAACGGAAATCCATGAGCAATGAAAAAGGTAAACCTGAAATTCAACGGAAATTCATCCTCAATGAAAAAGGTAAACCTGAAATCCAACGGAAATTCATCATCAATGAAAAAGGTAAACCTGAAATCCAACGGAAATTCATCCTCAATGAAAAAGGTAAACCTGAAATCCAACGAAAATTCATCATCAATGAAAAAGGTAAACCTGAAATCCAACGGAAATCCATCATCAATGAAAAAGGTAAACCTCAAATTCAACGGAAATCCATCATCAATGAAAAAGGTAAAACTGAAATACAACGGAAATCCATCAGCAATAAAAAAGGTAAACGGAAATCCATCAGCAATGAAAAAGGTAAAACTGAAATCTAACGGAAATCCATCGGCAATGAAAAAGATAAAGCTGAAATCCAACGGAAATCCATTAGCAATGAAAAAGGTAAAACTGAAATCCAACGGAAATCCATCAGCAATGAAAAAGGTAAAGCTTAAATCCAACGGAAATCCATCAATCATTGTATTCAACCGTGTTGAATGCTACCAGATCTCATCTATTTAAACTAACCAAGTGTTAAAAGAAAAATAATAAATAGTGGAATGAAAGATAAATGCTCTCCAGGGTTGACAGTTTTCAAGATCACATAAACCACAATTAGCTGAACCTTACTCCGGGTTCCTAGGGAGCACAGTAATCCTTACTTAGCGCTCATAGGGGTAGATAATTTGGTCACTTTAAAGGAATGGAAAACAACAACTTTTCGTAAACAAGTTTTTTATTTTATTTCAGGATTATTATTACTCTTGGATTATCAGGGATGGGTGTCATTATTTCAGACCGTTTGTACTTTGGATTTGAATATATTGAACAAATTTTACTCAAGTGTTAGGATATTAAAACCATTTTCACTTCAGAATTTAAGATAATGAACCATTTTTAATTTAAATATTAAGATATTAGAATCATTTTTACATCAGATATTAAGATATTAGAACCATATTTACTTCAAATATTTGGATATTAACCATATTTACTTCAAATATTTGGATATTAACCATATTTACTCCGCGTTTTAGGAGTTTAAAACATTTTTAACTTAACAAAAACAAATGATTTTTGTTATTGATTTGTTCAGAATATTTACGAGAATTCTTTTTGATGAAACATTTTAAATTCTGACCTGTGACAAACCAACCCAGGGGGTTTATCAGAACTGAAAGAACGTGTGTGTAAATATATTTCCTGTAACCTATATTTCATGACTCTGTTAGGACTGAATAGTGTTTAGATTAATGTCGGATGTGGTTTCAACTATTTATACAAAATGTCAATGCGTCAATGCTGTAATATCATGCATGGTTTTTATACATAATAACATTTATTTAGATCTAAACATTTGGTTTTATATTTTTCCTGGTTGACTAGATCAATATTTAACCTTCTCCGTGTGCTGTCTAGGACTGTAATTTGAGTCAGGGTTGAATTGGTTTTATCTCTGGCTTATGCTCAATCCTCCGCCAAACCTGTCAAATTAGAAAATTAATTAAACCCAATCCAATATCTTCATCCAAACATTCAGACCTACGGGGGTCCATACCTTGTATAAAGAGTAGGATGAGGAGAAGGAGGAGGAGGGGTATATATGTCTTAGTGCCAAAATACCAAAAAGCTAGCTAAAGCTAACCAGGTCGGATATTGGATGTTATGCAATGCTGTCTTATATTTGGTTCAGTCAAGTTCTATTAAAGGTCGCTTTGTCCAAGATTGTTTGTTAATATTATCTAAATGTAAGTGTAGTATTTTTTTTTATCTTTTTTGAACTTTGATAATTTATTTCTTTTTGTTTTGAAAAATTATCAAAAATGTTTTTCAGATGAATTTCAAGTGTGTCTCTTACCTCACGATTCTGGAGGATGTGACAGGAAGGAATTCAGATACTACTACAACTCTCTAGAGGTGGGTATGAGTAACAGTAGGAGTACCAGTAGGAGTACCAGTAGGAGTACCAGTAAGAGTACCAGTAGGAAACATTGTAGGAGACATTGTAGGAGACATTGTAGGACACATTGTAGGAGACATTGTAGGAAACATTGTAGGAAACATTGTAGGTGACATTTTAGGAGACATTTTAGGAGACTTAGTAGGATAGACTATCTCTAGATAGCTTTAGTTAGCTTTAGTTGGCTCTAGTTAGCTCTAGTTGCTCTTGTTGGCTCTAGTTAGCTCTAGTTGCTCTAGTTAGCTCTAGTTAGCTCTAGTTAGCTCTAGTTTCTCTAGTTAGCTCTAGTTAGCTCTGTTTAGCTCTAGTTGCTCTAGTTAGCTCTAGTAAGCTCTAGTTGCTCTAGATAGCTCTAGTTAGCTCTAGTTAGCTCTAGTTAGCTCTAGTTAGCTCTAGTTAGCTCTGGTTAGCTCTAGTTAGCTCTAGTTGCTCTAGTTAGCTCTAGTTGCTCTAGTTAGCTCTAGTTAGCTCTAGTTGCTCTAGTTAGCTCTAGTTAGCTCTAGTTAGATCTAGTTAGCTCTAGTTAGCTCTAGTTAGCTCTGTTTAGCTCTGGTTAGGTCTAGTTAGCTCTAGTTAGCTCTGTTTAGCTCTGGTTAGCTCTGGTTAGCTCTAGTTAGCTCTATTTAGCTCTGGTTAGGGTTAGTTAGCTCTAGCTAGCTCTAGTTAGCTCTGTTTAGCTCTGGTTAGCTCTAGGTAGCTCTAATTAGCTCTGTTTAGCTCTGGTTAGCTCTAGTTTGCTCTGATTAGCTCTAGTTATATCTAGTTAGCTCTAGTTATCTCTATCTAGCTTTGGCTCGCTGTAAGTATCTGTTCTGTCCTTAACATTTGAATTCTAAATACACTAACTACTAACTAACATTATTCTAACTGCATAAAATATCTCAAGCCAATTAAAGTTTACGATTAAACTCTCATTACTTATATATAATCAAGTATAACTATATAAACTAGGTAACATTAAAAGTCTCCCGTAAATAATTAAGCGTAAAAACTTAAAAAAAACTTCACATCCTACTCCTCTCCTACTAAACCCTCTACCTAGATGAACTGATCCTGGAAAAAAAACTATATCTATATTTATGATCTTGATCACATTTCTTCATGATTTGTAGATGAACTTCTTATCCTGGATTCTAATCCAGTTTTTCATCCATTATGTTTAATAAAAACAATCAGATCACGTTCTACTAATCAGATCATTGGAGTTTTATTAGTCGAACAGCAGATATATTCTTCCTCAATTATATTTCATTCTTTTCATAATTCATTGTCAAATCGAAGAAAGGGAAGGGGGGTCGAAGTTTTTTTTCTCAAGTTTAAAAATCTGGAATTTAAAGATTTCATTTTAAAGATTTTAAGTTTATCTTAAGTGAAAAGATCTCAATTTGAAAGATCTCAAGTTTATAGATCTCAAGTTTATAGATCTCAAGTTCACAGATCTCAAGTTCACAGATCTTAAGTTCACAGATCTCAAGTTCACAGATCTCAAGTTAAATATCTCAAGTTTATCTGAAGTTCAAAGATCTCAAGTTTAAATATCTCAAGTATATAGATCTAAAGTTTGAAGTTTTTAAGTTTTAAGATCTCAAGTTTATAGATCATTAGTTTACAGATCTCAAGTATATAGATCTAAAGTTTAAAGATCTCAAGTTTACAGATCTCAAGTTTATAGGTCTCAAGTTTAAAGATCTCATGTTTAAAGATCTCAAGTATATTGATTTTAAGTCTTCAGATCTCACGTTCACAGATCTAAAATTAAAGATCTCTAGTTTATAGATCTCAAGTTAAAGATCTCTAGTTTATAGATCTCAAGTTAAAGATCTCAAGTTTATAGATATCAATCAAGCTTACAGATTGTAAGTTTACAGATCTCAAGTTTACAGATCATAAGTTTAAAGATCTCAAGTATATAGATCTCAAGTTTAAAGATCTCAAGAATATAGATCTCATGTTTAAAGATCTCAAGTTTATAGATCTCAAGTTTATAGATCTCAAGTATATAGATCTCATGTTTAAAGATCTAGATCTCAAGTTTATAGATCTCAAGTTTATAGATCTCAAGTATATAGATCTCATGTTTAAAGATCTCAAGTTTAACGATCTTGAAGTTTATCTAACCTATCTCCTAATCTGTTCCTGGTCCTAGGACGTATTAGTTTAAAGTGTTCTCAGATAAATGATTAAATCAGGTTGAGGAAGGGAGGAAGGGTGATTAGAAAATCGTGAATGTTTATATGTCGATGGATGAGGGATAGAGTGGGCTCTTCATAGACTAAATATTTATAACAGACGTAGCAGTTCATGGTTATAGTTTGCAGTAATTACTTACTTGTATTTCTCTTTTAGTCAATATTGCGTGTCACTCGCAGGCACTTCTTTATTTTCCTATTTTTCTGATTAAGAATTGGATGAGTTTTTATCAATAGATTAAGGAAAGGTTGTTCAAGCATTTACAATAAAATCATTGAATGCTTCGCTTTCTGTAAAATATTTTGCCCATGAAGCTAACATTGTGCAGTCACAAGGACAGACTATTTATTCTGGTATGTGATGATATATATTCCATACATTATGGTCTCTGATGATATATATTCTATATATTCTGGTCTCTGATGATATATATTCTATATATTCTGGTCTCTGATGATATATATTCTATATATTCTGGTCTCTAATGATATATATTCTATTTATTCTGGTATGTGATGATATATATTCCATATATTCTGGTCTCTGATGAATTATATATCCCATATATTCTATATATTCTGGTCTCTAATGATATATATTACATACATTATGGTCTCTAATGATATATATTCTATATATTCTGGTATGTGATGATATATATTCCATATATTCTGGTCTCTGATGATATATATTCCATATATTATGGTCTCTAATGATATATATTCTATATATTATGGTCTGTGATGATATATATTCTATATATTCTGGTCTCTGATGATATGTATTCCATATATTATGGTCTCTGATGATATATATTCTATATATTCTGGTCTCTGATGATATATATTCCATATATTATGGTCTCTGATGATATATATTCCTTATATTCTGGTCTCTGATGATATATATTCTATATATTCTGGTCTCTGATGATATATATCCCATATATTCTGTATATTCTGGTCTCTGATGATAGATACCTTATATATTCTGGTCTCTGATGATATATATCTTATATATTCTAGTCTCTGACGATACATATTTTATATGTTTCGTCTCTTATGTTATATATTCCATAAATTCTATATAAACTAGTCTCTGATAATATACATAAATCCCATGTATTCTATATATTTTTGGTCTCTGATGGTATATATTCCTATATTCCTATATTATAAATATATATTTATATATATCTTTATATTCTAATATATTCTGACTTAACCCAAGTAATGAATATATCAAAGTCCGATGAATGAAAGAGTTTCATAAAGAATACGAATATAATTTCCTGTTTACAGATTTTAGTAAGTAAAAAGGTTTTTATTTCCTTTAACTGAAAGGAAAATGTAACTTTTGTTTTCAATGCTTTTATAGAAAGTGGTTTAATTATAAATAAGACTTTACTGACGACCTAAAACTCTTTTAAAATACCGCATTTTTAAGGCTTAAAGGGACTGTAAAGGAAAAATGAAAGGGGGTATAGGCTGAAAGCTAATCACTTAAGCTCTTGATCGCGACCCATGAAAGCTTTATCTGATGTTCCTATCCCGAGAAATTTATATAAAACTGTGTTAAATTTATACGAAAGTTCATATATGTAAAATTTAGAAAATTTTAAATTTAAATCACGTGACCAGAACTATCACCAATGGCAGAGCAGTATACTGGTCACGTGTCTCCGCATGTATTACGTGACCACTTTACTGCACTGCCATTGGTGGAATTTCTGGTCAAGCAATACGGACGTATAAATAATATTATGAATGAAATCTATAAAAAATAGAAATAACAAATATAAAATTAGAATTGGAGTAAACCTAAGTTACAATTAGCTTTCTCTGGGATATCATCGTTTTCAGATTGTTTACATAATTGCTGAATTTGATCTTTTTAAACCCTCTACTTTTATACAAAATTGTATATATATTAATTTTCGTATAAATATGACACAGTTGTATATAAATTTCTCGAGATAGGAACATCAGATATAACTTTCATGGGTCGCGATCAAGAGCTAAAGTGATAAGCTTTCAGCCTATACCCCCTTTTATTTTTCCTTTACAGTCCCTTTAATTCGATCTCACCTATTTGTTAAAATCTCGTAAATACTTCTAAAGATGTAGCAACGTCATAGAGGAAGTTTCCAGCTCTCTAGGATTAAAAAAGGTTGAATAAAATGTGCCCAGTTATCCCTGAATCTTATTTTTTACGTCTGATATAATTTTATTTCTGAAATTCCCAGAATAGTTTTCTTCAATTAACTTTCTTTTAACAGAAATTCACCAGTGGGTCTTATAATTATATAAGACCCACCATGTAAGGAGAGGTCTGTCAGATTCTCAACAGTACTTTTTAAAGAGAGGTTTGTCAGATTCTTAACAGTACTCTTTAAAGTTTCAGCAATAACGAGGTTAAGAAATTAAATTTTTTCTAACTTAAACTTGTTGAATTATGACAGTTTTCTTCTTTGAATTAGCTGCATTAATCCTCTGGTTACTTTTACACAGAAACTAATATTGAAAATAATGAATTGTCAGATTAATTTTTTAATCCTGAATCAGACAATTAGGTATAAAAGGTATAGTTATGAATCGGACATGCTCCGATATAAATGTAGGTTAACTTGAATATGCGTCTACAATCCCTTTTAAAAATCTACGGTGATTTGGAGTTGTCTTCAATATACGCAGTCTTTTTATTGTTTTTTTTTTCTTGGTGCATTGAAATGTTTTTTTTTACTAATTTATCGTTTTCCAATTCTGGGATACCAGAGACACAAATTTTTATTTGTTGATAACCATGTTTTTTGAATCTCTCTGTAAGACAAGATTACCCTATACTGGTCTCCTAGATATCAACCCTCTAGGATCTGAAGACTAAAGAGTACATTTTGCTTAATTAATCTGTTTGGTTTTCTATCCAAGGTTTCCTATGTTTATAAATCCAATCAGTCCGTCATTCATCTGTCTGTTCGGTATTCTGGGAAATGTCAGAATTTAAAATCTTTTAGTGTGAAAGGATTAGGATTTAACCCCCCCCCCCTTAACCTACTTTTCATGTATCTAACTGTGAAATGTTGCTCTTTTTCTTCCAGACTAGTTCATTTAAATCATTTATTTCCCAAAATGACCGTTTTTTTCAAGTTTTGGTAAAACAGGGAAACATTTTTTAATTAAAAAGTTTTAATGTTATGCATACTAGGGATTTTGTTAGAAAGCGAACACTAAATCATAGATATATTGATATTAGAGCGCTTTAAGTTCTAAGTTGGGTTTAGAATGTAGATTAGTCTGTAGTGCTCGGAGCATTCTATTGAAGCATATCTCAACTCTTCTTCTGTCATGATCAAACCTTGCATAAAGAAGAGATCAAGCAGTAGGTTGTATAGAGTAGATGCATTGATATATTCATGTAGTAGTGTTTTCCAGACAGATAAAAACCTGCTGCATTGTGGAGAGGTTCAGTAGGTTCTATAGATAGATAGTTGTAAAGCTCCAGTAGGATTCCCAGATAGAAAACTAGTTATACTATATGTAGATACATCTAGTGGAGAAATAGCAGAACTAGTTCTAATAGATTTCAGAGATAAATAAAATATAGTAAAAAATGCTAAAATGGTTTTAATATAGAATAGATAGATATAATAGATAGATAGAATAGAAAACTAGCTCTAGTAGGATATAAAGAAAGATAACTAGCTCCAGTATAGGATGTTTAGATAGAGACTTCTAAACCCATTTATTCAGTATCCAGGTCCCCCCTAAGTATGTGTACGGGTGTCGAGGATCCTGTACACCGGAAAATCTTAATCCCTACAATGAAACTGAGTTTGGAGTAGTTTAGATTATTATAATACCAATCCACTACAGTCATCCTGCCTGGCAATTCATTCCCCTTTCATTATTTAGCCTACATACATTATACATGCATATATACATACATACATATACATTCTTATTCATAACAGTGCATATAGGTTTAGTTACAACACCTGATCTATTGTATATTCACACTTTAATTCTATACAGAACTCTTTCAACTAATTTTAACCATCTTCTGTCTTCAATTCTTCTGCGAAACATTGATTAAGTTTATAAAAGATCTCTTAAACTTTACGTAATCTTTAAGTTCAAGAAAGTAAAGCATGATATGTTTTATTTAGAGACGCTGTAAGCTGTTTGTATATGGTGGATGTAAAGGAAACCAGAACAATTTTATCTCCGAGGTTGATTGTGTGAGACAGTGTGGAGATGAAACTGCTCTTGATGATCTAACAGATCTCACTAATATAGAGATAGTTACTCAGGAGATAGGTACTCTTGGAAACTCAGATCAATACAGACCTGGAGGGGGGGGGGGGGGGTTAACGTTTTTCATATTTTGTAAATATTCAAGTATCTTTTGTTTTAAATACTTGAAAATAAGATTCATCGTCATTCGAAAAATCAGTAAAGGTTTTAAACAAAATTCTTCATGTCATCGCAACTCGTTAAACTTGAAGTAAAACTGCTCATGTTCAAACTATTAACTTAAACTCGATCATAGTTTAATCAGTTGATAAAAAAGCAACGAAACTGCATTGATTAAAGGGACTATGAACTGATTAAAGGAACTAGAAACTGATTAAAGGAACTATGAACTGATTAAAGGGACTATGAAATGATTAAAGGAACTAGAAACTGATTAAAGGGACTGTGAACCGATAAAAGGGACTAGAAACTGATTAATGAACTGATTAAAGGGACTATGAACTGATTAAAGGGACTAGAAACTGATTAAAGGGACTAGAAACTGATTAAATGAACTATAAACTGATTAAAGGGACTATGAACTGATTAAAGGGCCTATGAACTGATTAAAGGGACTATGAACTGATTAAAGGAACTTTGAACTGATTAAAGGAACTATGAACTGATTAAAGGGACCATGGACTGATTAAAGGTAGTATGAACTGATTAAAGGGCCTATGAACTGATTAAAGGGACTATGAACTGATTAAAGGGACTATGAACTGATTAAAGGGACTATGAACTGATTAAAGGGACTATGAACTGATTAAAGGAACTTTGAACTGATTAAAGGAACTATGAACTGATTGAAGGGACTATGAACGTAATTTCGAGTGAACCTCCATTTATAAAGTGGCATGTCCGGAGCACATCGGTACTCTTTAAACCTTAATTCAGTAACAATGAGAAAGATATCTTCGTTTTTCTATATTACAAAGTCTTAAAATTCCTTCATTTTGTCTCCAGCATAAATCCGCAACCCGTAAGTCACTTAAAAAGAGAAACAACAGTTGAAAATAATCAACCTTCCACTTAATTGAAAAGCCTGGATTTATTCTAAGTCGGAGGAAGGTTTAATGGGAACCATTGTGAGTCGGACTTTACCTAAGAAGCACAGTACTTGGAATGAAAAGTGTTTATAAAACTAATATGTTCCTTGTCCTGTTTAGATCAGTGCTCCCAGGTAAAGGATGAAGGGATCTGTCCGGGAAATGTTCCGAGATTCTATTTTGATAAAACCGCCGAGCGATGTCTCCTGTTCTCCTACGGCGGTTGCGGCGGTAATACAAATAATTTTGTGACTGAGGAGGGATGTATTTCAACCTGTGGAGGTCCAGCTGGGGCTCTTCTTCATGCTATTCAACTTCATGGTAATATAGTCATTTCATTCATAGTATCATTCATTCTTTTCATTCATCTTATTATTCATTCCTCTCATTCATCCTATTATTCATTCCTCTCATTCATCCTATTATTCATTCCTCTCATTCATCCTATTATTCATTCCTTTCATTTATCCTATTATTCATTCCTTTCATTCATCCTATTATTCATTCCTTTCATTAATTTTGTTAATCCTTTCTTTCAGTCCTACTATTCATTCTTTCTTTTATTCATCCTTTCTTTCTTTTATCCATCCATCCAATCTTTCGGTCATCCTTTTACTCATTTAGTCATTTATAAATCATTGAGTCACTTAATTTTTTTTACGATGGTAGGCTCGGATGGGGAAGGTGTTGGACGGAGGGGGGGGGGGTATATGAAGGAAGCGTATACACTGGAACTGAACTGAATTGATCACGAAATAATTATATTCCAGAATTCCCACCAAACAAAATAATTTAGTTTAAAATGCCCTCAGTCATGAAGTTATTAAACGATAGGAGTTCGAGTTTTTATCAAACAGGGGTATTATGATTTCAAACTTTTTCCTTGATTCATTCGGACATTTTTTTGACCGCTTTGTTTGTCTTAAGTTTACTAATAGCGACGTTGTTCCATGTTCTGTTAAAGTCTCCAGCACGAGAGTTTGTATTCTAGGAATAATCTGTATCGTGTTCCAGGTTTCCGAGGTGTGTTAGTGGTAGAGACGGGGGGGGGGGGATGCCAAAAAAGGGAGGGGAAGAGGACTAGGGGTGGGTAATATCATGAAATCCGTGCAACCGGGAGTAATGATTAAATAATTTGCGTTAAAATTAATCAAGTCCCGAGTAAATGCTTCTGGTTCCGCATCCTGTAATCTTCATATAGCGTACTGTACTGTAGTGCAGTGCATAGTTTACCATATACTCTTGTACATTTTGTAATGTTTTTTACTGTAATTTAAAGATAGCAGTGAACTGCAGAGTTTATTTTACAGTGAACTTTACTGTTTCTAGTGTTTTAGTTTTAAGTGTAATGCATGCAGTTTATCATCTGCTCCTGATACTTTTTCTTCTTTTTTTGGACATTCTCCAATCTTTGAATTCGATTTATCTCTGATTTACATCTGTTTTATCTCTGATTTATCTCTAATTTATCTCTAATTTATCTCTGATTTATCCCTGATCTATCTCTATCTCTGATTTATCTCTGATTTATCTCTGATTCATCTCTGATTTATCCCTGATCTATCTCTATCTCTGATTTATCTCTGATTTATCTCTGATTTATCTCTGATCTATCTCTATCTCTGATTTATCTCTTATTTATCTCTGATTCATCTCTGATTTATCTCTGATATATCTCTATCTCTGATTTATCTCTGATCTATCTCTATCTCTGATTTATCTCTGATTTATCTCTGATTTTTCTCTGATTCATCTCTGATTTATCTCTGATATATCTCTATCTCTGATATATCTCTGATTAATATCTGATTTATCTCTGATCTATCTCTATTTCTGATTTATCTCTGATTAATCCACATACTTTCTTTTCTAAATCAAGTCATTTAGACATTATCTGTTTAAAGTGACTGTAGACACAATTTAGAGTGACCCTCCATTTACAGTGTGGCATGTCCGATTCACAACGGTACCCTTAATTGATTAATTTTAATTCTGTTTTCTCTATGAAAGTGCCGATTTCTAGAACAGAAACCATGGAGGAAATTGTCAAGTAAAACACTTTTTAAGTAAAAAAACCAACGATATCTTCCTCATTTTTGATCTGATTAAGGTTTAAGTGGTACCGTTGTGAATTGAGCATACCCTTCTTTAAATAGATTGTCACTTGAACGACAACATTCTTGATTTTGTTATTTCTAGGAGGTTTGAAGCCTAGGCGACCGTTCTGCAGTTTATCTATTAACCGTGGTGGATGTCAAGCTAAACTTAGAAGATTCTACTTCGACAGCAAGGATGAAACTTGCAAGCTATTCGTCTTCGGGGGCTGTCAAGGTAGATAGATATATAGATAGATAGATAGATAGATAGATAGATAGATAGATAGATAGATAGATAGATAGATAGACAGACAGACAGACAGATAGATAGATAGATAGATAGATAGATAGATAGATAGATAGATAGATAGATAGATAGATAGATAGATAGATAGATAGTGCATTGTATTTCCCCTATCAAGGTATATTTCGAGCTATACTAGAGTAAAACAATTTGCTTTAAAACAACATCAAATACACATAAAATTTTGCTTGAATGAAAGTTGAAATGGCAAGATAAAGGACAAAAGTTCAAAAGAAAAATTAGGACAAAAACTGATTAGGATAGTGAGGACATTGAGAATAAGAAACAAATAAACAAAAAGTAAAGAGAAGAAAAAAAAACAATACAAAAGAATATTTTTAAGACAATCTAGATATTTCATAATGCAAAATATTGTATTGTTGGTAGTATCCTTATGAACTGCAGGATGAACTATTTTTTACTCAAAAACCACGCTAAATCAACCTTCACCTGTAGGTCACAAATACAGGCTAGTGGAGGGGAGGAGGTTGGGGGGATATACAGGCTTAAGAGCATTCTTTATAATTGTGTTGACACCAATTTGGAATATAAAAATTGATTACATCTAACCTGGATCACAAAGAATTTGAGTCTTTGCCACAAGCTCGTATTTTCAAATTTCTAAATCTTTGCAACCTGAAGGTGTAAACGTTTGCTATTTCAAACTCAGATTATTTGGTCTAACCCAATGCATAGTTTGAAATATCTAAGATCTACGACATTGGGAAGCAAAGCTATAGGGATTAGAAAATCAGAGTTTGTGGCAAAGACTCAAATAACAAGTAGGACTAGAGTATAGAGAATAGAGATGTATTCTGATTATTTAATAATATGATTATTTTTTTTTTTCAGGCAATGAAAATAATTTCGAGACCATGGAGGATTGTGTGATTAAATGTGGAGGACCGGTTGAAGATTCAACCTCCACCTTTACTTATCCGACATCAACCTTGCTAATAGAGGATACAACCCAACCACAAGCTAGACCTACTCTACCAGCCTTCCTTATCAGCACAACTCCGTCCACCAGTGAAGTGAAGGACCTGGAGCTGAAGGACCAGACCAGAACCTCAACACAGATTATCTTGGACAGATTAAATACAAGCAGGCCTACGTCTAAACCTACTCAAATATCATGTAAGTTAATTTTAAGCCAATTTTAAAGTAAAGAAAAAAATTAGCAATATTATTTGTATTTATATTAACAAAACAAATAAGAAATTTATGAAAATAGTGATAAAGCTTTTAAAAGAAATATGAGAATAGAAATTTTTAAAAGGATATTTTTTATATTAAAAAATATTGTTTCTTATACGACATTGGACTTTACAGTCCCAAAAAAATGTAAACAAAGATTTGTATTTGACAAAAAGATTGATCACGATCAGTACAAGATTCGTCTTTGTTGAGACTTATTGTATGTTCCGACCATAGTGTGACTGCGCATTGTGCACGCACACTGCACAATAATGCAACTAGAGTAAACACGTAATTTTGCAGACTAAACTGCATTAAAGAGTAACAAAACAAATGCACAAAGACTCAAAGCAACAATAAAAAATTTACGAAGAATGAAATTGAATCTATTGACTTTAGCGTGAAGGTTTTTGTTCCTTTGTGGTAGAATGAACCTATTAATATTTGATAAAATAGGCGTTAAATGACCCGTAGTCGAGGTTGCGTGACCGTCAAATTTCCAAAAAATCGTTTTCAAATTTTACAATCTAATAACATTTTACGTGCATATGGTTTGTAGGATTCATTTTCAAATAAAAAATTAAGATTATTGGTGAAGATATCGTGTAGGGTAGAATAGGTTAAGGCCAATGTTTTAGTCTGCGCTGAATCCCTAAATTGCCAATATTTCGCAATGGAACGTGACTAGGCTAGGGAACAACTAGCTAGCTCTCTATAGTTAAACTAGTCTCCAAGTTATGACACTGCATAACTACAAATATATTTAAAGAGTAATATTGGCGTATAGTCGATTAGAAATAGCAATAACGAAAATACTTTTTATAAATCCAATTCTAGCTAACAAACAATCCACATAGCAGACAAACAATCCACCTAGCAGACAAACAATCCACCTAGCAGACAAACAATCCACCTAGCAGACAAACAATCTACCTTGACAGACAAACCATCTGGCTGACAAACAACCCATCTAGCTGACAGACAAACCATCTAGCTGACAGACAAAACATCTAGCTGACAGACAAACCATCAAGCTGACAGAGAAACCATCTGACTGACAGACAAACCATCTAGCAGACAAACAATCCACCTAGCTGACAGACAACCCATCTAGCAGACAAACAATCCACTTAGCTGACAGAAAACCCATCTAGCTGACGAAAAATCCATGTAACTAACGTACAAACTTTAACTGTACTACAAAGATATCATTTACACGACGGAATTCAGTAAAAAAGGCCGGCGTATTTCTGTTAAAGTGGGGGGAGGGGGGGGGGGCATAGGAAAAGTAGATATTGGAAATTGACGTTTGCTTCGAGAAAATAAATATTAAAGGTTTCATCAAAAAGGATTCAGTAAAGTGTGATAAAAGAGTAAAGGAAGTATAAATGTTGACGAAAAGAGTAAAGGAAGTATAAATGTTGACGAAAAGAGTAAAGGAAGTATAAATGTTGACGAAAAGAGTAAAGGAAGTATAAATATTTACGAAAAGAGTAAAGGAAGTATTAATGTTGACGAAAAGAGTACAGGAAGTATAAATGTTGACGAAAAGAGTAAAGGCCGGGGAAAGTAAAAAGAAAAATGAGAGAAAAAGAGCAAAGGAAGATAAACAGAGAATAGTAAGTAGAAAGAGTAAACTGATTTAAAAAGGTAAAACTAGTAGAAAGAGGAAGGTAAAAAAGAGTGGATGAATAAGATGATAGAGTTAATAGCGATAAAAAAGGAACTGTTACTGAATAAATAAAGAGAAGAGGAAGTAGAAACCGTAAAATAGATCGGTAAAAAAGAGAGGAAGTAGAATGAGAATGAGTGGAATAAAAATAGTGGAAGATGTAGAATGAGGAAGAGGAGGATAAAAATAGTAGGAGAAGTAGAATTAGGAAGAGAAGGATAAAATAATAGAAGTAGAATGAGGAAGAGGAGGATAAAAATAGTAGAAGATGTAGAATGAGGAAGAGGAGGATAAAATAGTAGAAGTAGAATGAGGAAGAGGAGGATAAAAATAGTAGAAGATGTAGAATGAGGAAGAGGAGGATAAAATATAGAAGAAGTAGAATGAGGAAGAGGAGGATAAAAATAGTAGAAGAAGGAGAATGAGGAATAGGAGGATGAAAATAGTAGAAGAAGTAGAATGAGGAAGAGGAGGATAAAAATAGTAGGAGAAGTCGAATGAGGAAGAGGAGGATAAAAATAGTAGGAGAAGTAGAATGAGGAAGAGGAGGATAAAAATAGTAGGAGAAGTAGAATGAGGAAGAGGACGATAAAAATAGTAGAAAAAGTAAAATGAGGAAGAGGAGGATAAAAATAGTAGAAGTCGAATGAGGAAGAGGAGGATAAAAATAGTAGAAGTCGAATGAGGAAGAGGAGGATAAAAATAGTAAAAGTCGAATGAGGAAGAGGAGGATAAAAATAGTAGAAGTCGAATGAGGAAGAGGAGGATAAAAATAGTAGAAAAAGTAAAATGAGGAAGAGGAGGATAAAAATAGTAGAAGAATTATAATGAGGAAGAGGAGGATAAAAAATAGTAGAAGAAGTAGAATGAGGAAAAGGAGGATAAAAAAAGGAGCAAATGTAGAATTAGTATAAAAGATCGAGTACAAAATTACTTGAAGGGTTTAGAAAAGTATATATCATGCTATCATTCTTAATGGGGGGAGGGGGGAAGTGAAGGAAGGGGGAAATATACCTCTAAGAAATGATTCCTTATTCGCAACCAAATTTGCATAAATTGAATTCGGTATAGACTGTGCAGACTGTAGGCCCGGCCTTGTGTTTTAAGCATTAAATTATGATTAAATGTCTTATTCTATGCAAAGCTTCGGACAATTCAAACATGGCCTTGAAGTCGGAAAATTCGTGTTTTAAGAAAACTAAGATGTTTCGGGTTCCCAGACTCCCCAGACAGAAAAGGTTCAATAGCAGATCAGCTCAGAAAAAATAGAAAATATTCTTACTACAAATATGGCGCGTTGTAGAGGTATAACTGATAGATATTTTATTGTAGTTCGAAGTATTAACCTACCTTCCACCAGTCCTTGTGGACTACCTAGAGAAGTTGGAACATGTTCATCCTACCGGGAGAGATACTACTTCGAACCCGAGTCGGATCTTTGTAGAAAATTTAGGTAATAATTTTTAACGATTAAGTATTATTTATCAGTAAGTCTGGAAAAAACTTTTTCGAAATTACAGGAAAGGGGACATTGGGGGAAGGGTTTAGAGTATGGAAGGGGATATTGGGGGAAGGGGGACGAAATAGGAGAAGATGGACAAAGAGAGGGCAAGGGAGGTGGGATGGGAGGAGGGGCAAGGAGTGGGAGGGGGGAAAGAGTTGAAGGGACGGGATGGAAAAGGGGAGGAGATTGGATGGGAGATGGCCAGAGGGCTCCGTATTCAATACCTTTCCTAGAACATAAGTGTTGTATGTAAATTTATTCAACTTCCAACATTTCTCCAAATCAGATTTGACGTGTGTAATTATTCTTGAACTGCAGTATCAAACATAGTGCAGAGGTAATGGCAGGTTGTGCAGACAGTGGGTTTCATCTTCGAGATTCAAGTTCAGGGTTAGGACGTAGAAATAATAGAGTTCATTTCTAGGTTTCGATTCGGGATCAGATTAAGGGAATTGGAGTAAATTCAAACTTTTTTAAAAAGAACGAAAAGAATTTGGGTAAAGGGTGGATAAAAAGTTAAGGTCCAGTTTTATGTCTACATTTTAATTTTAATTTATGTTTAGGTTTAGATTTATGAGTAAATTTTGATTGAGGTTAAGGTTTCAGTTTAGGCTTTACCTCAGATTTTACTTTATCTGAATTCAAAATATTTGATTATTTATTTGCAAAATAATTCAGATACAGTGGATGCGGAGGGAACGGAAACAATTTCATGACAGGAGATAATTGTGTCAAGAACTGCGGAGGAAAAATTGAAGATTTTATCGTCTCCAAGAAGCATATAACAGAGAGGATTGTCATACCCTCCATGAAACTATTGACCACAACCACTACCAGCACCACCACCACCACCACCTCCACGACTACCACAGCCACTACGACAACCACAACTATTTCCACTACTACCACAGAAGTTGAACCAGTGACTGATAGTAGTTTGTTTAAACGGAGAAAAATGAAACGGGTTCGGATGGCGCCCAGAGAGAAGACTGATCAAGGTGGGTCGGAGAACTCTGATAATATTGCCCAGGAATCAAGTGATTTTATTACAAGAGCTAGATTCAGAGAACCTCAGGAATCAAGAACAAGATCAAGAGTTTCATTCTCATCCTCCACAAGCGTAGTTTCGTCATCTATGTCTTCTGATCATTTCCGAGGCCGGAGACCTATAACCTCCGATAGTTTGGATCACATTTCCCAATCCTCTGAGGTTGGCTCCAAACCTGAAGTCAATTCTAGTTCTAACATTACTCGAACTAGAACAGGTTCAATTCAAAGTAAGTAATAAAGAAAAAAACTTTATTTAAAATTTTGTTCAAATTGTAAATATTTTTTTCAATTTCAGCTCCAAGATTTGAGGCAAAATCAAATTTTTCTCGGTCACGGTCTTTCCGCCATATTCCGGACCGGGACTCTATCCGGCCGAAGCTGGGGCGGAGACCCATATCAAGATTATCCGTCGCAGGGCGGAGAATTGATGAGGTTGTTAAAGCTCCGCCAAACAGTGCTGGCGGACTAGTTGTTATTCGAAGCTTTTGTAGGTAACAAAATATCATTATTAGGAAAGTACCAATTGTTACATTTTTGTCATTTTTTTTAAAAACCAAATGCATTTTTTGGAATGCAGTAATTTCTTTTGTTTGAGATTTATGGATGTTATCTTGAATAATCTTAATTTATATTAATAATTTTCATAATTCCAGTTTTTCGATATATTATATTATATATAGCTCCTTATTATATAGGGGGAGCTCCAACAAACATGGGATTTAGTTAAAACCTTAAGTCCTCTTTCTACATTTAATAAACCTCCTTTATTAATCTGGACGAATATATTTGTTTTTGGGATTGACTGTACAATCCTTGTGTTTAGATTTCCTCCACCGAGAACTCCATGTACAAACCCAACTCTATTCTACTTCTACGATGTATCCTCTGCATCCTGCGCCAGGTTCCAGGGTTCCTGTGTAACTTCACAGAATAAATTTGTATCCGAGGAGGATTGCATGAGAACCTGTATAGTCCAAGGAAGGAACTAGAACGGAGAATCTACAAACTTCATATTGAATTCATCTCGGTTTCCGTCATCCCGTCTCATGAATGAATAGTAATTTATACCTAGAGATCTGCAAACCTTTACTCTGCGTGCAATATTCATCTTTCTACGGCAGAATGCTCAATTTCGCACACGAACGGTGGCCTAAGGCGGTCCAAATATGACACCGCTTTCTAGTTCGTATGTACAAGTGTATGTATGATTGTACGGCAAGAGCTGTACTGTGTACATGTGATAAAAGTCTGAAAGTAAATTTAGTGAAGGAAGGTTTGTGTCGGATTTGACAGAAATAAGTTTGCGGAAAGTCGGAAGTGTGTGTTTAACGGAACACTCAAATAAAAGACTCAGTAGAGGTGAATTACCAAAAACTTTGCCAAAAAATGTGACATTTTTCACACGTAGTGTCCCAGCGCTTGGTTTCATTTTTCAGTTAAATCACAGAGAATTGTACAATAGTGTACACAAGTCAATAATATATATGATGTTATTTCTTCTATGTAAAGTTTATATTTGTAGCGTACAAGTTTTTAAAACTGGAGAAATCCCATTTTGTGCCAATTTGTTGGTTCTATTGTTCATGATGTCCCAGAGACAAAATTTGACTGAAATTGAAGTGGGAAAGTCTGGTGAATCAGTTCAATGTTTGATTGATGTTGGATGTGATATATCTACAAGAATTTATATATTTGTATCATTTAAATAAACATCTTTAATTACATAGAAAAGTCATTGAAAATTAGCTAAAAATTCGAAGAATAAAATGATTAAATAAAATGAGAATTCTGATTTTAATTTTATTTAAAATCAGAATCTTTACAAACATGCTCTTGAAACAGAAAAAGTAAACATGTAAAGAATATAATTATATGATAAATTCATATATAATGGTTAACTCAGGATTAAATCTCCCCCCCCCCTTCCCTCCACTCCTGCTTAGGCACTTTAGTATAAAATGATGTTATCAAGCATGTTTATTACAGGGTTGAGAATGGTTTGCCTGTTAGGCCGGATTATGCCTAATTATGGGCCTAAGTTCCCCGCTAATTGAGCAGTTTAATATCCAGCCTGTTTTGTACTTTAACCTTATGGAATGGATAATTTCATGAAGAATGTTATATTTATATATTTATATACAGGGTGTCCCAATAAACATGGGAATTCAGTGACGAATTCGATCGTCGTGATATGAATTAGCATAGTAATACCTGATTTAAATTTTTTTTTATGAAAATGGTAAATTGCTGTAAAGATGTGTTTATAATGTCTCAGTGAAGACGGACAAGTTTACTCTGTTTGTATACTGCAATTTTCTTGTTTTACTAAGTACAACCGTATGCAGTCAAAACATAAACAAACAAAACTTAAACATAGTAGACGAAACTCTTACGGATTACAGCTTTCTCAGTAGGTATCACTATACTAAATCAAAGAATTATTTAAAAAGTCGATATCGAATTCGTCACTGAATATATAGATATAATGTGTAAATATATATATGTATATTATATATTATATATATTTATATAATAAAGCTCTTCGTTCATTTATATCCATGGGGATGACATTTTTTTAATTCCACGGGCAACGCCCGGCACTTCAGCAAAGATCAAATTTCAAGATCAAGCGCGGGTAACGGGTAAACGGGCGACGCCGGGCACTTCAGCTAGTAAATAATATAGCTTTTCGATCATTTATTCTGAAAACGTATCTCCCCTAAAGGAGTTTTGAACGTCGAATTTGCGCTCAAACGCAGGATTTGCAGATCTTTAAAAAGTTTAATATGTCTCAAATGAATCCGAAAGAGGTTTTCCACAACACTGCATACTCAGTTCAGCTACCTTACATAGCCGGTCACTCCCTTTAAAAGAGATTCTAAATGAAATTGGGGGGGAGGGTCCCCGGTTGCCCCTGTGTTAAATTATTTCTCCCAGATGAAATAATCCTATATGTTACCGCAGAGATATAGTTTAAATTCTTCCAATCAATGAAAACAATAGAAAATAAAACCAGGGGGATGAATGCGGTGAAATATTTGGTAAAATCATTCAAGGTGTCTCAGTAAATATACAAATCCTTGATTTCAAGTTTTTTTAAACTCAGAGGGGAAATAATAACCTATCAATATTCTATGTATATACTTTGTTTGTCTGTCTATCTGTCTGTATCCAATAAACGTCAAAACGGCTGAACCAACTGGGCCCAAAATTTGAGTGTGACCTCACATGACCCCAGGGAAGGTTTATGGACCATCAACATTGAAGAAAAAATCCCTGGAAATTTTTTTTTTGAAAAAGCGCCAATTCGAATAGAAAAAATCCGTTATAAATTTGAGAATGATTAAAAATGGCCGACATTCAGAGCAACATTTAAAAGCTAAGCCTTGTAATAGTAAAAATAAGAGCATTTTTACATTTTTTTCGTGCGCTTCTTTTAGAAATAAATAAAGAATTTGTAGGGTTAAGTGAAAATTTGTACATGCATGGTTTCCCTTAGTATTAAATCAAACGGGAAATAACAAATCAAAATCATTATAATATTAACTTATGTTGATTTCATATTATGTTATTAAAATTTCATATTTCAGTGAGTGAAACTTTTTTCCTTTGTAAGTTTGAATGGGTGAAGGTTAAAATCAGTTTTTAACACGTCATCATTCTGGGGTTTAAACTTTTTATGAGACATAAACGTAAAACGATGCTATACACACAGACTTGTGGGAAACTGCTACGAACCAAATGTTCCACTAAATATCGAGTAGTTTCTATTTTCACTGAATATCGAGTAGATTTCGAGTAGTTTTCACGTGTTTTCTTGTTTAAGTATTCATGCAAACCATCCTGTCTTAACCTAACCTAGACTATTATTAAGTTCCGAGAAGGGGACAAAGGTCCGGAGAGCTATGAAAAATGTGCATCAGTTCACTAGACCGGGTCAACTTTGAAGTGTTGCGACCCTTAGCCTTTGGTTTTACAATACCAACTCATTTATACTTTTGTGTAGCCTTAGATAAGCACATTTCAAAACTACAAAGCGCTTTTTTCGAGCTTTAGATACAAGAAGTTTTTAGAAAAATTATGATAGATTTTTGCGTAAGAGGCATCATTCACACTTTGGATCCCTGAGAGCGGGACTCATCAAACAATTTAATTTTTCCACCTCCAGTGAACAATAGTTTGAGATTATTATGATTCAGTTTTATTTTTTTTTTCTCCCTGTTCTGTAAAATAATTGGTGGACGTGAGACGGATTCTAATTATTCAAGTATTTACTTTATGTACCCAGCAAGCATAAAATCTTAACTTCACGGTCAAGGAGTTTAATACTCACCCAATATCTTATATACACTTGATACAGTTATACAAGGAACTAAACTAAAGTTCTTATATACACTTGATACAGTTATACAAGGAACTAAACTAAAGTTCTTATATACACTTGATACAGTTATACAAGGAACTAAACTAAAGTTCTTATATACACTTGATACAGTTATA